AGAAATCCTAGGCAGGGAAAACCAGAAACAAAAAAAACTGGATTTGCTGTTTGCCACTACAGTAATTATTACTGTATTCCCAGCATTTTGAATTTAAGCACTAGAACCAATATTAGTGCAGATACCGATCAAAGTAGCACTGCATATCTGAGGATGGGAGAACACAAAGGGCAAAACAACGAAATGAAGCCGGGATTTCCATTCGGCACTATTTCTATTTGCTTTGGTACACTGCTCTTTGCTTCCATTCAGTAATTTTCCCCCAATTTTACTCATTTTATCTGTCCGAGTCTTGCCACCCCTTAAAAATCCAAATAAATAAACAAATTTTTTTTTTTAGGTGAATGTTAATTTATTAGATAACTCATGTAAAAAAAAAAAAAAGACACTAAAAAGCATGTATCCTATCTGCCATACACAGATATATAAGTGCAATAATTCACCCAATTCTACTGTAACCTAGCAACACTCATGAAGTTTCAGACATAATCAGGAATAACAAAAGAATGTTTGCTATGACCAATTTCAAACATGATGAGGCAACAGCAGGGTGGGTCAACATCTTTTAATTTGTTGGTCTCTTTTTTTATATTGCTGCCTAACCTTTCGTAAAAACACATGTCCACAATTTGTTGCACACTTTGCTGTTTCAATCAACTTCAAAGTGAATGCTAAAACAAGTATGAGCATGTACATTCAAATCTCTTTGTAGACACATCACTTACCCGGGTTCGATATTTGAAAATTAAGTGATGCCTCATGTTGGCTTTATAAGAAAACAACTCAACTTGATTGGTAGATAACTTCAATACGTGATCTATCTGTATTTCTATTCAACACTACGGGAATGCATTACCTGTAATAATCAAGGAACTGAGCCAAAGAATATGCTCTTCAAGTTATGCACTCGAGATAATTTGAGTTTTCATTGAAGCTCTCTGGGAGTACTGCTGCTCCAAAAATTGTCACCGCAAGATATTGAATGATATGTGTTGTACACCACTATGGAATTACTTGAAAAACGGCTAAAATGAGGGCCCTTGCAAGCCAATGAGAGCGATGAGTGAGGCACGCAACAATGTACCCTCGAGCGCACTCCCAGGAATAGTAAAGACGAGAGCAGAACACGGCAAATTGTAAGTGATGACATCGGTGGCTCCAAGAGAAAGAATGAGAAAGAGAGCGACAGAAAATATGGAGAAAAAAAAGCAGATGAGAAAGTGTAGGTGAAAGATTAGGTGCACATTCGTTTAGCTGCCACGAGTGGAATTGTTTGGATGCTTGTCAACTTTATTTCTTTTTGTGTACTGCGCGACGTCAGTGTACTGGTGCATAATAAAGCTAGGAAACAACTGGGGTGCTACTAGGTGCAGACCTTACAAGTGGCGTTTTGCCGCTCCTTTGTGCATCCTAAAGTGTCGCTAGCAATATAGGCTCACTGGGACCACCAATGTCCCATGTCTATGTCCCGCCACTTCAAAACAGCCGAAATGCGCGTGGGACTTGTCTGTCCCCCTGAATTATTATATTAACTCTATGCGCACTCTTCCCGTGGACTGCTGTCACGTTCCGCACACCGTCGCTCTGATGGGCTCACAGCTGCAACCAGCTTTCACCGTTCGCCAAGCTACGTTGGAATGGAGTATATGCGAATAACAGGGACCCCGGAACCCGGGGGGCGGGTGGGGGGGGGGGGGGGCAACGGGGGCTGGAGCCCCCTCTGTCATTTTCAGGGGGCGCTGGACAATAGGCTGAGCCTATTGTCCATGCATTTGGCTCATGGCCTCCCTCTCCCCCAGGGCCGAATTAAGGTACGGGCTGAGGGGGCTGCAGCCCAGGGCCCCGGGTGGCCCCGTGCTGGTCCCCGGAAATTCGGGCGGAAAAATGCTAGTCGGTTTTAGTTTAGAATAGCTCAGACCTAAAAGTGGAACAAAACTCAGAGGAGCCTCTAGGCCATGGCTTTCTGACGTCGTGCCATTCGCCCCCCCCCCCCCCCCTCCCCCCCTCACCCACCCAGCCCTCCCCCCCCCCCCTTTTTTTTTTTTTTTCAACGGGAAAACAGGGATGTTACAAAGTTACCCTCTTTAGACGTGTGTTTGTGAGCTCGTTGTAAAAAACTGTGCTAGAGCAACAAAATGTAAGCGTTGCCTCCCACCCTCTTTGTAGGAGGGAGCAAAGCTGTCGACGCTGGCGGTCCCTTTGATGTCTCTTCTAATTGAAACCAGACGGAAGGACGGCCACGGAGTCCTCTGTTGTACTGGGGCCCCCTCGATGCGTTGTACGGACAATAGTGCGTTGGAAGGCAAGCAAGTGTTGCCGAAGGCTACACGAGCAACATACATGCTACACATTATCTTTTTTATGTATTTTTGGTCTTTTAGTGTAGCTCCATATGGAAAGCTTCCTCCGAAACGACAAGTTTAAAACACGCAAAAAGAAATATCGGTGAACCTTCCGAAGCATTCCTTTCTAACCACAAACAGGCGTTTCAAAAAGCCGGCTCTTGAGATGTCTCCCAAAAGTTTTTGAGAGGCAGTCACTGCAAGCAACTGCTCTGGAGCCCGTGTCTGATCTGACAGTGCGAGACGCCTTTTCTGCCATCGAGTGTAATGACCACTGCAATTTTTTTTAGAGCCTCTGAGGTATGACTTTTTATTTTTAGCTTAGAGCAGGGGTGGCCAAGCTGTTGCTCTTTGCCTGTTAAAGTGCGGCTCGTGGCTTCATAGTGTACCTAACCCCCCCCCCGTTTCCCGCCTCCCTCCCGACCACTTCCCCAAGAAGAGAAAAGGAATGAGTTTTAAATCGAGACAGGTTGCGGTTTGGTCCTGTGCTACCGCTACCATACGTACAGTTGAACTGCTTTTGACTTGGATAGACCTAAAGTAGTTCAAATTTTATTTATTGGTCTAAAAAACGTTTGGACCCCCCCCCCCCTTTTTTTAGGCGGTTTTTGGAAGTTAGTGGTTTTGTTTGCGGCTTTTAGGCCGGGTCAGCCTGGCCACCCCTGGCTTAGAGTAATACGTCTAAATGGCTGCAAAGCTCTAAACTTTGTGAACTTAGAAAAAATAAGACCATTTACAAAATTTATTGAAACATTTTACCTTTAAAACAGACAGCAAGTAGGAGAGGAGTTTAAAAATACCTCCTTGATCTTCATGCGAGATGCCCGTGAATGTGCCCAAAATGACAGTGGTCGCTATATTACAATTGCATTCATTCCTTATTATTTCTTTTACTATTTGTATGCAGAAGTCTGTTAGTTTGGGACACGAGAGTTCAGTTATTAGAAGAGGGTGGACGAGGCGGTTTGAGCCCTAAATACTTTAACCAGGGCCGTAACCAGGGGGGGGGTTAGGGGGTTCTGACCCCCCCCCCCCCCCCCCCCCCGAAACTTGTTTCTGTGTACGGCCCTGGTCGGTGCACTTGCAGCCAGCCGATTTTAATCTCCACCTCTGCGCATGCGCAGTGGCGCCGGTCGGCTACCGGGTACCAAACCGGGACCGGTTCTCCGGTTTGCTATAGCTCTCCATTATATGCCACTGATGCACATGATTCATAGGCGAAAATAAGACAATAAACATTTTCAAAATGGCCGCCGTTTTCCCCGAAACCCACCCCCCCCCCCTGAAATTTTTTTCTGGGTACGGCCCTGACTTTAACCACCAAGATTACTTTGCTGTATGTTTTGCTTTATTGTTACACTCCCCATATGTAAGATGAGAGTAAATAAATGAATTGAAAAAAGTCAGTAAATAAAGGGGTCATGAAACGATATCGGTTTGGAATGTTCGTGACTTTAAAGAGGCGTACTGGTCCTAGTCTGAATGTATGGACACACCGTATAGGTAGGGATAATAAACCTTCTATGAACAGTAAAATATTTGTAATGTTCTTTTTTTTTTTTTTTTCTTTTTCAATGAAAATTTTTTTTTCTCCCTCCCTCCCTCCCTCTCCTCTTTCCCCCCCCCCCCCCCCCCCCCCCCCCCCGGCACTTTTTTTTTTTTTTTATTTCAACCTCTAGCCTTCCCCCCCCCCCTGTAAAATACACTTCCGGGGTCGCTGAGCGACAATGTACCCTCGAGCGCACTCTCAGGAACGGTAAAGACGAGAGCAGAACATGGCAAATTATAAGTGCTGTCATTGGTGGCTCTAAGAGAAAGAATGAGAAAGGGAGCGACAGAAAATATGAAAAAAAAAAAAGCAGATGAAAAAGGGTAGGTGAAAGATTAGGTGCACATTCGTTTAGCTGCCACGAGTGGAACTGTTTGGATGCTGGTCAACTTTATTTCTTTTGGTGTATTGCGCAACGTCAGTGTACTGGTGCATAATAAAGCTAGGAAACAACTACGGTGTTACTAGGTGCAGACCTTACAAGTGGCGCTTCGCCGCTCCTTTGTGCATCCTAAAGTGTCACTAGCAATATAGGCTCACTGGGACCACCAATGTCTATGTCAAGTCACTTCAAAACGGCCGAAATGTGCGTGGGACCTGTCCCCCTGAATTATTATATTAACTCTATGCACACTCTTCCTGTGGACTGCTGTCACGTACAGCACACCGTCGCTCCGATGGGCTCACAGCTGCAACAGCTTTCGCCGTTCGCCAAGCTACGTTGGAATGGAGTATAGGCGAACAATAACCATCCTTTGTGAAATATTCAAAAAGCTGAAATATTTTAAGGTTTGTCACAACTTTTGTAAGAATGGACTATCTAAATGATATACACAAATTAATTTATTCCTTGCAGTGGCACCGGTAGTGCAGTTCATGACAGCACAGCACTCCCGATTTCTCGTGAAATCTTTGTGGTCCGGCAAAGTGTGAGTCGTTTGGATAAGATTAGGAAGATTAGGATAAAAAGACGCCGACGTCCGCAGGAAACATAGCCAGCATTCGTGTCCGCAGTGAACGTGCGGATTACTGTGGCGTTCTGTCTCCCAAGCTGCGCGACCAGTGCAGGTCAGAAAAAGTACGTTGATCGCAAGATCTACGGTCCTTACCTCCGATGATGTGAGGCGCATTCTCCCAGAAATCAGCCGGTTTGGTGGGACGGTGGAAAAACTCGTCCCTCACGTTCACCAGCACGAGACTGTAGCCGTCGCCCTCGGCGTCGGGGTTCGTGTAGATGAACAGCAGACACATTCTAAAACGAAACAAACACAACATAAAAGGACAACGCCGAAGGGATGCATCTTTGGGAGTCAACGAAGACCGGCTTGATCAAGGGCAGCCGCTATGCTGAACATAAACGCTCGCCAATATGAAGCAATCGGACCTTATCGAAAACAGCTGACGGGGCTTTGCGTAAACACGAGAACACCGTACGAGCGAGCGAGACACGCAACTTTGTGCTTTTCTTTTTTCTGGGAGTACAAGTGGACTACAGTAAGTGGAATGCGTCTAACGGTAAGAACAGAAAGCGGACGAATCAGACTTACGTGAGAAACGATCTAGGCTTTGGGAACACTGTCACACGGCACACTGGCACACCGCAAAAGACTCGTCCGACTCAACGTGTTGGAAGAGACGAATAACGTTCCACATTTAGCGGTGCGTTTTTCCCCCTCGCGGTAGACGCGGTTTTCAAAAACAAGGCAACATCAGGCAACATCTGCGTGCGAGGGAGTTTCTAAATGCGGACGGTAGAGGTCGCGACAAATTGTCACGTGACTATAAAAACAAAAGTAGGTCAGTGACCTTTCTCCTCTCGGGGGCCCCCCGACAGTAATACAAAATGTCTCATGGTTTATAAGTGAATTGTAAATTAAACTACCTAACTCATTGGAGCGAGGCAAAGCTTTCGATGCTCACGGTGCACTTAGAAGTAGTGCAGGCAGATGGCGCAGCCCACCGCCCTGCTGAAATGTCTCTGCTGTTTTTTTTTTATTGGTTCATCTGATCCATCTGATCACGACGCACACGCACGTGCGTCCGTTTGTGTACATGTTTGCGCGGCGTGCGTTTTATTTTCGTGCGATTTCCATTTGTACTAGTTGTACGGGGGAAACCTAATTGAAATGAGTGCAGAAACGGAACTGCTACAATTTCTGTCTACTGAAGCAGCCCTAACGACCAAGTTGCCTGCCCTGTTATACATCCTGGGTATGTCGTGGTCGACGATCAACATTTACCAACCTGCCGGATCAGTCATTTGAACAATCATGAGAATAGGGGTGGTCGCCGGTGTTGAGATGATTGCAGGCCTTCTGGTAGGGGCTTTTGTCCCGACTCTCCTGAGCCAAGTAAAATTTACACACAAAAAAAAAAAATCGTCAAAAGTAACTTCCCCTTTGAAAAGATTGCCAGGAGTTGTCCCAGGCCAGGACATGGAGAATGTTAATGCTGACGAGGGAGGTGCTCATGCGCGCTAGAATCAAAGCATGATTAACCTTCTACTAAAAGTGTTTGTTATCATTTTTTTCTCTCTTGTACATGTTCTTGGAGGCTCAGAAAGTAGTAGTCTGGGAGAAATTGGATACAATTTTGGGAGAGGCGTACTTAGAAGTGCTTTATAGTGAGTTCCTTTTCAATTTGTCATTAGAGAGAAAGGGAGGAGTGGTGGAAAGACTGGGCGCTCAGCTTGGAGGAGAGGTGAATTTAAAGGGCTGAGCTAAAACTCCAGAGTGCATGTCTGCGAACAGAAATTAAGAACAAACAAAAAAAAGGGACGAACACAGCATGAAAGACCTTTCCAGCTGGCCAGTTGGAAAGATGTTTCATCCTTTTCGTTTCTTTCCGTTTATTTCCTCTACATTACCAGCACGCTTTAATTCGTCGAAAACGTAAGCCATTTCACTTGGTCTGCTACATATATGACTCACGCTAATTATACTATAACGCACCACAGTCAATTGAAAACTTAAAAAAAGGAGAATGAAGGGCACATGCAGCCCCAAGGGACCCGAGTTTTTCTGGCTCTGTTGTAGAAAGTACATGTCCATCTTTCTGCATTTTTTTCTTTTTTCAGGACTCACAGCCACAGACGATGGACTGTCATTTCTAGATCAGCACAGGCAACTGCTCAAAGCTACGGCTTCCCTCGTACACGACCCGTGCCCTCAAGTGGTCTCAAAAACGTATGATTGTCTCGTAAATGCCACATCACATCCCTCCATAGCAGCCTACAGCTTGGAAGAAGACTGCCAAGGTCTCTTGGAACACGTCGTCAAGTCCATACTTCAGAATGGCGACGACAACGTCCTCAAGTGTGCAGCCATCCTGTCGAACGTCACGCAGACAAAGCCAGGCTCCGAGAAAGTCTGGACCACACTGACGTCGCTGGGCAAGACGGAAGAACTCCTAGAAGCCTTTGTCTCGACCGACGGCGAGTCTAGTAATCGGGACCACCTCGGCTTTGTGTTCTCAAACCTCAGTCAGCTCATTTCTGTGAGAAGGTTTGTGCCTTTGAAGAATGGCTTTAAGTGTCTGCTAACCATGCGGAGGTTTTTAGAGATGTGCCAATGTCACGGCTGCTGTATACTGCGCGGTATGCACCGCCCTGAAAGTTTGTGTGATAGCTCAATTCTCAATTTTAATTTAAATAGGTGGTGCAAAAAAAAAAAAAAAAAAATTTTTTAATTTACTGTTTTAGAGCACTGGTGAACGTTTTTTTAGAATGCACATGACGGAGAGTAATGGACAGGAATCAATATAATCCTCAAGCACACTTTCATCTCGCACATTGACACATTTTTGTAAGCACATTCTCTTACACCTCCATTTCATTTATTGCTACTGGGTGGTGTCAACGAGTATGGTTGTTGATGGTAGTGTGTCCTCGTTTCCTCTGTCCACAGCTGTGCATGTAGTTAAATGCTATCTTATCTTTATGCACATTGTGATGAAAAAAAGAAAAAAAGGCCCCAAAAGTTTCGCTGACTTCTGTGATGGTGTAATCTGTGTAGAAGATATTTTTTAGGGCTCTAACTGTGTAGAAGTTATTTTTGGGGGCTCTAAGCAACGTTAGGTTTGTAGGATCTTGATTTCCTGAATTTTCTGAAGTGCCCCTCATTGTGAACTGTGAGCCACGTTTTGTGTGGTCATTTATTTGTTAAGCTTGTGATGATCAGCTCATCCAAAACAATATATATTCTTTACAGTTTGTTTGCATTCATCTTTTACACGTCCTGTGCACAGTATTTCAATGTAACCTAGATTACAAAACAGCACTATAGCCAAGCCCATATTAACTTTTTCTTTTCCACTAGCATAGAAAGAGTGTAAGGGAGTTTTCCTTATTCATCCCATTTTGTTACAGATGGTTCTTGGATAAAACAGCATCAAGGATACACAAAATGTTTCCGTTTCTCACGCTGGAAACATCTACAACGCGAAAGCATGGTGCAGTAGGAACGTTAAGAAACTGCTGTTTCGAAATGGGTATGTATAGGTTTCCCTTTCCATCGAGCTGATCCTTTTGAAATGATATGAGAATTAAATATTGTAGTCGACAGTAAACTGGTCAATGGACCCCATGTATGCACGCAGTGCCAACAGTAAGCTTTTGCCAGGGCTTGGTCGTTTCAGCTTACTTTGTCCGAGACTGTACTTGTTGAGTAGGTACATGTATAAGCTTTTGTTTAGTATATAATTTATATCATAACATTGATTTTAACAAACTGGGTAAATTACCATGGAGAAGCTGTAGGTCTTGGATTTTTGTTTTCAAATTTTTAAAAATAAAAACATGTTTACCTGCATCATTGGGATCTTCTAATGTTGTTAGAAAAACCATGTGCTACAAAGTTTCTTTGTTGCACAAAAGGTTTCCGAGCCCGACGAAAAACCCAAATGGGCAACCTGCGACGATCGCCCAAATATATACAAACTCAACTCTCCTACGTCACGCCGCGGTGGTGGCACGCCGGACGCACTTCCGGTCTGGGGAGGTGGGCAGAAGTCGCCGTGCCAGACATGCATTCCTGTGTTCCTTTGGAAGAAACGAGACAAAAAACCTGCCTTCTCGACAAAATGCTGCGAGGGGGCTGTACCAAGAGAGTCTGAAAAGGTTTGAAGATTAGTTTTCATCTGTTTTTGCCCCCTCCGTTCGTCCGAGAACGTGGATAGTAGCCGTGAAAAGGGCAAACCAGACGCTGTCAAACTACGATTGCGTGTGGTCGCCAGATGTATTTGCTTTGTTCCAACATAAACGAGAGAAAATCGCCAAGTTGTCCGAACCACCCACGGGTTCAGTGCGTCTTCAAATTCACACGGCTGCCTGATCGTTCAAACTTTCGTCTGCTCTTTCAAACGTCTGCTTTTTGTCATCTGCTCGTTCAAACAAAAGCGGCCCGTAGACCAAACTTTGACCCGGTGATTGCAATAAGAAGCAATTGCAGGCCTCAAAAGACTTAAGTAGGCTCGGTGTAAACAGTAGATACAAGATGTTGATCATTGGTACCGGTGGCCATCACCGACTTGTTACGCTTGGTCTGTTCCCGCTTCCGATTTTCAGTATCGATGTCGATCATCGCCGCTACCTTCTACACTTTTGCAACACGAGCGACGTCGCTACCGAAAATAGCTAGAAGAATCTCATCATGGTTTTGGCGTTCATTCTGCGGCGTTCATGCGAATGAATCGCCGCACGTCAAATTATTTACAGAAAGTTTAGCGGCGTAACGAGCCTTGATAATTTCGCTTAGGCGATTAAAGTGGTAAGACATTGAGATGAGGACGTAGAATCGACAATTCCAACGCGAAAAAGAGTATGCAGACTCACACAGACGCCGACAACGTGACATTCGAGTGGTTTGTTGACGCGGGACGCGGTGCTTGTTGCCCGTACCCCATTACGCATGCGTTCGAACTGTCGTCTGCTCTTTCAAAATTGGCTGCTTTTTGTCGTCGGCTCGTTCAAACGACAGCGGCCCGTAAACCAAACGTTGACCCGGTAATTACGATAAAAACTAAGTGCTGGCCTCAAAAACTTTTGAAGGTTGGTTGGGGTAAGTAGGCTAAGTGTAAACAGATACAAGAAGATGTTGATCATTATTGTTACCAGTGGTCACCATTGACTTGTAATGCCCGATTCTACTTGCGGTTTTCAGTATCGACGTCCACCATCTCAGCTACGGTCCACGCTTTTGCAGTCCAATCAATGTCGCATCTGAAAACAGCGAGCAGAATCTCATCGTGGGAGTCAGGCTTTATAGCGCCTATTCTGCGGCGTCCACGTGAAATGAATCGCCGCATGTCACATTATTCACGCAGTTTTGCCTCGTTAGTTTTGCTGAAGCCATTCAAGTAGTCAGACATTGTTAGGAGGACGTAGAATCAACAATTCCAACGTGAAAAAGAGCACGGGGACTCCCACCGACGCCGACAACGCAATTCAATGGTTTGTTTATGGGCGACGGCGGGCTTCTTGCCCACCATCCACTGCGCATGCGCGGCGCCAGTGGCGTTCGCTAGGGGCGCTCCGGTTTGTTTGTAAACATAAGTTGGTGTATAGGGATGCCGCGAACCACCCTAGGTTCCAATTTGAAAGGTTTCGATATTTTCGAACTGAACTGAGGTTCGAATTCAATAGATTTCGATATTTTCGACCGTGTACCGAGGTTCGAATTCAAAAAGTTCGCAACTTTTAAACACCGTAGAGTTTCTAATTAGAAAAGTTTGAAGCTTTCGCGGTTTCTAAAAGCTTGGGTTCAATTATTTCAAATATATTTTTACTTGAGGTTCAAGAAATTCAAAGATTTCAAACTTTCCTTACTTGAAATTCGAGAGATTTGAATGTTTTGAATTTCTTGAGATCTCAAGTTCGAAAAATTCGAATATTTCGAATTTCTTTAGATCTGAAGTTCGAAAAATTTGAAGGTTTCAAATTTCTTTGAATCTGAAATTCAAACGTTTCAAATTATTATAAGCATAAAGTTTGGTAAATTCGAAGATTTTGAATCTCTTTCTACAAGAAGTTTGAAAGTTTTGATTCTCTTTAAGGGCTAAATTCGAAAAGGACTTTATGTGGAATTAACAGTGCAAATACAACAAGGAAGGATAGACAAGGGAGACAGGATAGTGCACTGAACTAACAACTGACGTTTAATGAAAAAGAGAAAGAGGAAAAATGACCTAAGATTGCTTTTGAAACATGCATAATGAAAACCCGCAAAAACATGTGCTATAGCTAGATTACTCCCATACATTGTTTTAAAAGCAATCTTAGGTAATTTTTCCTCTTTCTCTTTTTCATTAAACGTCAGTTAGTTCAGCGCTCTATCCTGTCTTTCTTGTCTATCCTTCCTTGTCGTATTTGCACTGTTAATTCCACATAATGATGAACCAACTAGCCCACCAGATGATCGTGATTCAAAAAGAAACTTCGAAGGTTTCAAATTTCTTTCAAGTCCAAGTGCGCAAAGTTTGAAGTCCGGTTTTCATGTTCCTCCACAGTTTCAGTTTCAAATAATGTTTTCACGCCTCACTGGTTTTCACGAAATCAGGTTTTGAAAAGTTTGGGTGTGATATTTAGACTGCGCAAAGTTGGTCACGCAATTAAATGAGACGACGAGTGTCCCGGATGTGCTGGAATATTTGCCATTGCAGTATGATGTGTGACCATAGATCAGTAATTGTGACCGCCAGCCCGGGGGGGGAGAGGGGGAGGGAGGGGTTCTTTAACGTGCATCACGCAGTAGTGATCACACAAACGAACTGTTTAACGATACTCATCCAGTTCGAAACGGCCAGGGGCAGGCAGGTGGTTGAGGCTCAGAAAAACCTTAAAGTGATCTGGCAAACTGCCTCCCCACCCCTTGCATGCTGGTAGTAATCCGATCGAACCCAGCCTGAGTGACGCTGGCATGTATATAGTAAGTTTAGTTTGTACATGATGCAAAATCCTGAGACTGGGAATGAAATTTGAAAGAAAAGGTGTGAGAAGACAGAAATAAGGGGACAGGACAACGCCTCAAACTCAGCTCTGGGAATGAAATTTGAAAGAAAAAGTGTAAGAAGACAGAAAAAAGAGGACAGGACGTCTCAAACTCAGCTCAGGACAACGTCTCAAACTCAACTCAACTGAGTTTGAGACATTGTCCTGTCCCTTTTTTTTTCTTACGTTTTTTCTTTCGAATTTCATTCCCAGTCTCAGTATTTTGGATCATGATCAACATACACCAGCTCGCCTGCACCTTGACAATTTTTTAGTTTGTAATTGCTTTGGGAGGTTTATTTTACAGGACGGAAGAAACACCGAGCAAAAAGCACAGAAGCCGACATAGCTCGAGGTCGAGGAGTGTTCTACCATACCAGTGTCGTCGGAAAAGGAAAAACTGGGGGGGGGGAAAGGAGGAGGAGGAGGAGGGGAGGGGAGGGGGGTTGGAAGGGAAAGGAAAGGGGGGGGGGGCTCCAGGCTCCCCCCCCCCAGATATTTCGGACTGTTAAAGGAAACAATATAGGGAAAGAGGGCATGGTCGAGCTTATTTTAATCTGAAATTATTTATGCATATGTATTTATTTATGCTACTGTCGCTCTTCACTGCATAAAAGATTGCACAGGTGGCAATTGTTAGAAACTTGTTGTCAGAAGGCACTACTCGTCACATGCTTAGTGGTTCGGAAGTTCAAAGCTATGTCTTTTCGACCTAAATAACTGTGCCATTGGTAAAAAAAAAAAAATAATAATAATAATAATAAACATAACAATAAATGTAGAGATGAAAAGCTGGAGAAAAAAAAAAAAAACTATCAGGAACCCGCCGGAAGTGTTGTATTCTTGCATATTCAGAGGCCCAGAACTTCGAAACAAGTTTCTTCTACCGAAATGTGTACAGGCTAAAAGAAACTAGTCCCAAAAACGTAAAACAAAACAAACAAAAAAAAAATAAAAAAATTTATGACGTGTTGAACTTAAACAATATTAGAAATCTTTCCTCATGAGTTATTTATTCCTCAACATGAAAAAAAAAACAATAAATACATTATTTTGTATTCTGCAGATGGTAATGATATGTGCTGTAATTAAATGCGATTCCTCAAACAATTTAGACGAAAAAAATGACCAAGTTTTAGGGCATAATTGCCCGTAGATACATGTTAGGACATTTCTTTGAAACTCGTCTTGAACAACAATCATCATATCTTAGGATGACACTTACCTAGGCTATACATAGATCATTCTTAAAAAGTTTGACATCTCTACCATAAATACCTTCGGCTATAGCGTGCTTGAAATATGGCACAAACAACAACTGTCCAAAACGTGTCGTTCCTCCTCGCTCTTTCGGGAATTTATTTCTTTAAAACTAAGCATGCCAGAACATTGAAATAAGTGGCATTGTCTTTCGCAAGAAATGCAACACCGCATATAAAAATGCGAAAAAAATATTACGAATGTACCTCACTGCATGAATTCAAATGAAATTGCGCGCCAGTGTTTCGAAGTTCGACGAACTTCGGACTTTCAACCCTCAAACTTCGAAGTTCGTCTAACTTTTGACTTTTCAGGACTCGAAAGTTAGAAAGTTTCCAGATTCTTTAGATAAATAAGTTAGAAAATTATCTAATTTCTTTGCATAGGAAGTTCGAAAAGCTTCAAACTTTTTAGTGCAAGAAATTCTAAAGTTCGACAAGCATCGAACTTTGCAGCGTAATACGTTCAAAAAGAATTGAACTTTTTAGCGTAATAAGTTCGAAGGTTCGAAAAACATTGCATTTCTGAAAGTGCAAAGTTCGAGATTTCGAAAAGCGTCAAACTTCTTAGTTTAACAAGTTTGAAAATTCGAAATCTTTCAAACCGCTTGATTCGATCATCGAACTTTAGGTTCCAAAGAAGTTTGTGGCATCCCTACCGAAATATCAGAACTCAAGAACTAAACGTTTGCTTCAAATACAGTTTTCAGTTCCGTTCTAGTCTAATATTTGCCCAACATTTAGTATATATTTTTCACAAAAGTTTTTGAATCTAATACTTTTTTTTCTTGCGCAATTCGAAATGAAATTCCCCCCATAGATTAGGCATTGACATTCAGTAATATTGAGCTAATTCAAAAATGTCAACCAGCCGCCCTTCATTTAATCTCATTTGAAGTTACTACCTACGATGACACTTGTTCGGCGCTGCAGAGGAGCAGTATGGCCGGAACAGCACGACGGCTAACCTGGGGTCTTTGACGTACATTACGCCGACATGGCATTCGTCGTGACCAGACGAACTGGCCCCGACGTTCGTTTGTCCTTTCCCGTGACGACCTCTTGGTACAGACCACAACGAGTGGCTTCTGGGCCCCGAGGTGGACATCCTGCCCCGCCTGCTCTACCCACTCATGGGCCCCGAGGAGCTGGACGAAGACGAGATGGAGAAGCTGCCCCTGGACCTGCAGTACCTGGGGACCGACAAGCAGCGGGAGAGGAGCCCAGAGATACGCAAGATGCTCATCGAGGCCCTCACACAGGTGATGGACCAGCGAGGCCCAAGTGCCCAAACACCTTACGAGAAGAGAAGGGTGCCCCGGCACTCAATATACGGGATATCCCCCAAAGAGATTTACGGGGTTTTTTTTTTTTTTTTTTGCCGCAAAAATAAACTGTGCGTCACTGGACGCTCATTTTCTGCTCCAAATGTAGCGCTAGCAGTTCGAGCCATATGCCAAAGCTTCAAAACAAACTGACCGTTACATTATTAAAAAAATAAGCGATTTTCTGAAACAATGGAAAAATGACGGCCAACAGAGCTTTCGAATACACGGCGGCTGAATGACGCAAGTTACCAAAAATGGGCCCCATTTTCCCGTCAAACTTTTTAGAAAATAACCTAGAACTTTGGAATGAGGCAACGGTTAGTTCTGAAATAGTCGGCCTCCAGATCGGACCACTAGCACCACAGATAGGCGGAGAACGAGCGTTCCGCAATGCGTAGTGTATTTTTTGCAATAAAAAAAATTAAAAAAAACTTTTGGGAGGTAGGGGAATGGGGGGGGGGGGGGGGGGACACTTTGTGCATAAAGGCCTCTGTGTAGAAAAGGAGGAGCCAGAAATGCCGAGGGGGTTTGTAGTAGGGGTTCCCTGTTTTCGGTATATACTGACAAACCTTGAAAAGTAACCTCTGAGCTGGTTTCATAAAAATCGGCGAGTTACAATAAACCCCCAATTGGAGCTGAACAAGAAAAACCCAAGCTTCATGGACAAAAAATGTTTTTACAGCTTTATTCTGTGTTCACCTGGTGTACAACCCTCAGTGAACTGTGCATAACAAGGCTGCTTCTTATTCCAGGACATAAAAATCGGAGAGTGTGTTTTCAAAGTAAAGTACAGAAACTCTGCACCGCAATAGACCGATGTCACCAAGCGAACTGCGCAGGCGCGCGCATTCCGGAAGTGGTGCCGCCGCCACGCTACTTGTAGTCATCCGTTCCCGGCTTCCCGGCTACATATATGGCTGCGCGCACGTACATCATCATAGATTCTCATTTGGCACGCCCCGGTACCACCTTGATTCTCTTGCATGTTTGTACTTCATAAGATTGTGTTGTTTGTGATGCCTTACTTTCCTCAGCAAGTGCAGAAAAGCAGTTTCAGTCGTCTTATCGCTTTAGAATCGCTTTGTCGTCTGCTTCGTCGTCGTCTGCTTCTTCGTCTTCGTGAACGCGTAAGCCCACTGCCGTTCACGGGGTAATCCAACTGCGGCCGCGGAAAAAAACAAAACAAAAAAACCACGGCGCCACTACTCGTGCATTCCGACTTCTCGGACGTCTCAATTACCTTGCAAACAAGTGAACATCTAGTGTAATAGCAAAGAACAAGAAAATTCGAGAGACAATCGGCTCGGTGTAGCACCACGGAACAGCATCAAATGTGATGAAAAACTGAGCTTGGTGGTGCCCAGTCTTGTGCATAACGTTTAGTCAGCCATCAAGTAAGAGGAGCTAAATAGACTTTCTCGGTCAGCGATAGTTTTCTAGAAGTTGTTTCATTCTGGTTGACAGCCTGTGCGACAGAGTACAGAGGAACAGCGGGAGAAGCCCGCACACAAAGAACTGATCTACAGAAAGGCCATGCCTGACGCGCCGTAATAATTGGCGTCTATCAAAAAGAAGCAACCATGCCAGGTACCTGAAAGCTTGGGGTGGAGATGATTTTTTGTGCACAGTTTCTATTCAGTTTTATTTTGTTTACGCAAGATCCGAACGCTAACAGTCGCCCGACGGGGGAAGCTTTTTTCTGCGGTCTCGACTGGTGCTAATGCAGAATGGATCAGTAACACCAGCCTAATAGACCACCACAATATGGATGAGGTTTGTTTGTTACATTTTTGTCGGTAAGTACGTGTTGCACTTCTAAATTGCATTATGTAATCTTTTTGCGTAGGTATGGAAAAAAAAACAAAAAAAAACTGAAGGCTGCTTCTGAAAGTTGTTTTATATCAAGTGGTGCATATCGAAAATCGCTGCTCTTTTTTAGTGATTGTCCTGATCTTTTGAAGCACAGTTGTGCTTAAAACATGTCGTCGCAATACCAGTTATAACTACCAAAATACACCGAGTAAGAAGTGTATTAAAAACGGCCTCCGCAAAGCAGTGCGGAGGTCCTGTTTGAGATAGACCAACGAATAGGCCGCTACGGAGCAAATGGTCAGAGGGATTCCAACTTACGGAACACTTCGGCACGCTGTATGTCTCGTGCCCTGTAATCTTACATATTTTAGCTGACGCGCATTAATTGGATATAAATTATGAAGCAAATCGCGAATCAATTCGTAAAACGCTATTTTTCCAGCCGCACTGTCCGGCTCTGTCGACCTTTCTTTGCCATGTTTCTGTCTTGCGGGAAGACATAATATCCGAGGCCTTTTTGCCTGGTGCTGTTATTATAGCTCCGTGGCATACAACATGTGAAGCCACCGATTGAAAACCATGAGTCAACACCCGGCTAAAAGTCTCGTGCTAACCCGAAAATTTCCAAACGCCGGGCGTACAATGCGCGCCGACGCGGCTGGAAAACTGGGGAGAACTACAGGTACCAGAATGCACCGCGGCAGCGGTGGCGTCGCGCAACTCCTCGTGAGATCGGTCTATTCAAGAGCGGCGGCTGACACAGGGGCGCATGTGGGCTACCTCTATGGGCTCAGAAATTTCGCTTGCCTTTATAAATTGGCATTGTATAACTGCAAATAAAAGTCAACCCAAATAAAAAATAAAAAAAAAGATTGTGAATAAATATGTGGCAGTTCTCCAGTCGTGAAAGTTCTCATGAAATAGTAGGAGGTGCCCCACCCACACCTCCAAAAGATGTGTTATCAATTAGTACATTTTCTGAATTATATATGGTTTTGCAGCAATCCCCTGAAAAACAATCAATGGTGCTCTACTCTATTCAAGAAGCCTTCCGAAAGTCTCAAGTGACAGCCGGCATTTTGTTAAAGGGGTAGTGCAATGATTTTATTGCTGAAAGAATTTGCAGTTTGTATTTTTTATATTATTTATCTAGGCACAAGGGACAAAAAATGCACCACCTTGACCCAAAAAACTGCTATTCCACTGCATAATCGCAAAAAAAAAAAAAAAAATTATTTACTGATCTGCAGTTTCATGTGGCTAATTACGGGAACTACCGTGACATGTGTCTGGGGCACACGCGGAAGTCAACAAAACCTGTCCCCCTCTGCTGCTACACTCGCCGTCAGCCCTGGGGTGAACAGTCTTTTGTGTCGATCGCGCTTGCCATGACCTTCGGCGGTGTTAACCTTTGAAAATTCCACAATTGCGGTCGGAGCTCCTGGGGTCTCTGAAGAGAGAACCCAATAGGAAACCTGGCGGTCCCCCAGAGACGTCTTTCGAAAAACGGTTGTGAGACTTCACACTTTGACTTTGACCTTCGATTTGTTTCATTTTTTTTAAATAAAAACTAGCGCTCGCAAGAAAGCATGGTTTTCTGTTCTCCTTTCTCATTCCAATACTTGCAAGTCCTCAGCCCAGCATGTGCATGTTCATCGCTTCGGAAAGCGAGCAAATCACTAGCCATACGCACGAGCACTGAAAATCAAACTGGCCAGGAGCCATTTTTTGGAAAGACCCATTGGTGATGCAGATTAAATCCCGCATTAATTGACCAAAGTCCAAAAGTCGCATCGCCCCTTTAAAAGACGGCGTAAAATACCAAGTATGTACCCGTGTCACAATAAGTGTCCACCCGCCACTGTTCTATGCTCTCGTGTTACGTACCCACCCTTATGTAATGCCCTCAACGAGGGCCTTTAAGGGAACTTGAATAAAAATAAAAAGAATATGTAAAGGACATATTGTATTGAGCATCTCACTCAGACTTCTGAGCACACCTGGCTAATGAAGATGCTCCTATGCACGAGCCGCTTTTCCGAGCCCGCCAGTGCAACGCAGTGAAGCTTGACGTGCATGCACCAGTCCTACGTGGTAAAAGCCCACCCTGCTGAACAGCACATGAATGTCATGTGATGCCCACTATGTGAGGATCCCGTGCGAGCGTTATAGCGGCACGGCATAAACGCTCGCTTTTAGATGTGGCGCGGTGGTTCATTATTCTGTCACTGGTGACACAGCACATGTGATGGAAAAAGGAGCAAGTTAACATAGAAATGCTTCCAGTCCAGGCTGTGTTATGGAACCGGAAATTGACTACGGCTGGAGCTGGAAATCTATTTTTCCAATCGGATTCCGGGCTGTTTCCACCCAGAAATGGATAAACTTCTTGCTGGAAATTAGATTTTTCCTCCTCTAGCTGGGAAACTTCCAGGTGGATTATGTACTTCCAAGCTGGAATTTCTGATTTCCAGGATGAGCAGCATCCATTTCCAGCCGTAAACAGGATTTGTGCGATGGATGTGTGCGAATTGCTTATCAGATGCTTTCACGATGAGTCGGTTGTATTTTGTATTATGTTTTGCTTTTTGTTTCCGGGTGTCTGTTTCGTCCTTTATACGGGTTCCGCTGGCAGGACTCGGCGCCAACAATAATCCGATAATCCGCGTTTCCTTTTCCCCCGCACACGTAAGCAGTCTTAAGTGTACTCGTGTAATTTTTTCTTCTTCTAATTTTAAGTGTCTAATGGTTTGTTTTTAAGACTTGAGTTAGGCTTTTAAATTGCATGCCTCTTTAGAATGCAAAATTTCTTTTTGCATGAACTCTGTAAAGAATCATTCATTCACACTTTATATGCTGGGAGCATTCACTTCTTGACTGTTTCTACTAAAATAATAAATGTAGTGCTGCTGATGGTTTTATTAGGCTTGGTAAAGTCCAGGTTGTGTATAAAAGCAAATGGGTGCAGGACTGCCCTTGATTATTTAGATTCAATGTTTGGGATAGAGAACTACTAAGTTTATCTCAAAGGAAGAAACCAGGACAAGAATGGTGCCTTTAATTATTCTCCTAGGAAGTAGGAAAAGGAATTTTCCTAAAACTGTCAAATAAAGTCTGAAAAAAAAAAAGGAATGTAAATTTTAAACATTACCGAGCTAAAAATTAGCATCTCCACCATGCTTTGCCCAGGACAAAAAAAAGCGGTACACTCCAGTTAGTGGCATTGAAGCCTGGGGTGAAGACCTGCCAGACCCCAAATTTGTAATTGTCTGTGACGAATGCAAAAAACATGGTATAGGAAAACAGAAAGACAAAACATTACTAGCGAGAGCGAGGCTGAATGAAACCCCATTCAGCTCCGAGAAGTGGCATCAGCATTGGGACAGTCCTCCCTTTGGGTTGTGTTGGCTTTCCACTAGATAGCGACACCGAAACTTCTCGCCGCTATGTACAGAATGTACACACGGCGCATAACTCTCTCGTGTTTTCTCATCCCACAGCTGTGTGCAACCAGGGAGTGCCGTAAGGTGATCAAGGACAGCGGGGCGTACTACGTGCTTCGGGAGCTGCACAAGACGGAGCTCTGTCGACCGGTGGTGGTTGCCTGCGAGAACCTGGTGGACATCCTGATCAGCGATGAACCGGAACCGGGCATGGAGAACCTCAAGGAGGTCGAGGTGCCCGACCATTTGGTCGAAAAGTTCCACAAGTACAACGAGGAACTGCTCAAGGAATAAACCGACCCAAAACTCGCTCGTTGTAGAAACTGGGGTTATACAGCTTCCGTGGTTGGTTTGTGCATCCATGGTGTACGGTTTTATCCAGACTGGCTCGCTTGAGCAGCTGCACACACATTTTCTTACCAGAACCTCCTGAACTGGCGATTTCTGAAAATGGTGTATTAATCACGCAGAGACAACCTAAGGTTGTCGAACAACTAGCGAGCTTATAAAAGTCCGATGGTTATGAAAGTCCTATAAAACGGTCACCTGGCTAAGGGATCTCTCGTCTGCTTTGACAATTTCCCATGTGCTTTTCACATACCACCGTCCATATGTGCAAACACGAGTAACAAAGTGTGCAGTGATGGTAGGCAAGTATATTCTGGTCCTAGTTATAAGCTCTGACATTTTGGTGCATTCTATTCTTTTTCATCATTTGTTTATTCATTCTAGACAGCTAGGTCATCTCAAAGCTGATGGTATGAGCATTGGCAAGGTTTTGTAAATCACGGCCCAGTAACTTGATACATCATGTCTACAATTTTAGACAATGGAAGGACAGACAATAAAATCTGGGCTGCGAGTCGAGTCTTCAAAACAGTTTGGATGTGTGTCGTAGCTATAAATTTAACTTTAGTTGGTTTCTGTTTCAAGTTGAGATGCCTTGCAGCATCTGGACACTGCACGCATGAGGTACCCAGATCGACAATCCGTGCTCATGTACCCCCGTGGGCAATGCGAGCTGAAATATTTGACCCCGCCTTTTTGTGCATCTGCTGTCCCCCTAAACTCTATTATCCCTCAACTTGTAAAAAAGTTTAAAGCATGGGACGTAAATTTAAAATTCCATTCCTAGATTGAACCCCAGCTCTCAAAATCTGGCAGGTATGATCGACTGATTGATTTTGGGTTTTAATGGCGCAGCGGCTGCTAAGGCCATAGCGCGCCAAAACAGTGGTAGAGCAAGAACTGTGGTGCTATTTAGTTAAAGGTGAGGCATGATATGAAAATTTAAAATGTTTCATGAAATGCAGACAATAAAAAAAAAATCCGCTAACTTAAATGTGCTGTAATAGGCCAATGCTGTTTAGGAAGTTAAAAACTTGGGTATGAGGAACAAGAGGCTCCTCTCCCAGCAAGAGGGCCGGGTGGAATGGGATCTGTTCCCTAAACAACCGTGAGAAGTTGGTGCGACGCTCCTCATGATATTTCTGGCAGGTATGGCAAAAAAGCATGAAGGACTGTTTCAGGTCACATTGTCCGCAGTAGTACCTTTCAAGCATTGGTCGTAAACTGTACAGGGTATATGTCGGCTTCAGCTCGGCTGCTATTATGGCCAGCATGTTTCTAATGCACTATACGGCAAACAACAGAATATAAACCTATTGAGCCCACATTTCATCCAACCAAACATTAAATTGTGTTGATTATATTTTTATCCTTTATCTTCCTATAATTTCCCCGTCAAGACCATTGAGAAGTCAAAAGGCTCCAGCTTTTGCAAACATGCTAGAGTATTTGAAATTGGCGCTGCCATCCAGTGGCAAGTCCAGGGATGTTTTTCCAGGAAGGGGGGGTCTAAGGTGCCTGAAATGTCTATGACTCGGGGTGAGGGGGGTAGGGGTGGTCAAAATGCACGAGTATATTATAGGTTCGACTGGATATTGGGGAAAGGGGGTGGGGGAGGGCTGAAGCCCCATAAGCTTCCCTCCTGGCTATGCCACTGCTGCCACCACTGACAAGTTTGCAACTTGCGTGTGCCTGTATCTCCATCTTTACCTTATAGTCTCGTGGTTCTGTAAGCAACCAAATTGCCCACCAATGCATGCCTTTTACTTTGATGCTCTAAGTGTGTTTCTACATTGTTTGTTTTTGGAACCGATTCCCAGCATTTTGTTTTCAGCTCGGATAAATCTTCACTTAGTGGGACAGATCACTTTCACCCCTTGCCTACAAATAAGTGTCACTTGTGCCACCCCTTACGGACAATTAAGCCCGACTATGAGTGTGGCCCGTGTTTAGGTTTCAGCACTTGTTTAGTGCCCTCTTTGGAAGACGGTAGAACCACTCCTGTTGCTCCATGTTTTGCTGTTTGACAAAAAAAAACCACTCCATTAAGAAAAAAATAGAAACGTGCTTGTAAGCGTTAGTGCCAAAGCACGACTTCGGCGCAGAGGTCCACTTCAACCGATGAAGGAATTCGAAAACTTATTTTTGAAAGTGATGAATGCTCAGGCATATCTGACATCACGCCCACTCAGAACCCAAGACAGGCATGCAAAGTATGCACAGCCAACAAGAAACAGAGTGAAACAATGGGAATGTGGACAGTGCAAGGTGACTCTCCGCCTTCCTGAATGTTTTCAGTGCTATCACACCATGAACAACTATGGAAGAGGACCAGAAGATCAGAAGTTCTGATTTAGAGCAAGATACTGCACCGGAAAGTCAAGGAAATGTTTTTGTTTTATTTTGACGCAAATTGCCTGTTTAGAATAAATTTGCGCTGTATGTTTCTTGAAGAAAAACATTAGTAGGCAAGGGTTTAAAGTAAATTTAAATAATCCATTGAGCTTGTTTTCTATTTTGCTTGGATTAAACAATCGTAGAAATGTAAAATTCAGTATGAGCCCACTCCAGAGTTGAAGCTTAAGGAGTCTGCCAAGTAGTATATGTGACCTTGAAAATATGGGACAATTACCCTGCTGTTACCATTTCATTGTAGCCAAAGCACCTTCAGTAAAGTATTGCTGAAGGTTTACTTGACAAAATTTGGCAATTCATTGCAGCAGACAAATCATATGTTGCAAGCTTATCTTTTGTCAGTCTGTACGAATAACTAAAAAAGAAATCCAACATACAAGCCACAGTAATGCATAGCTGACACCTCAATGGCAAAGTCCTTCTCCGTTCTGCTCAAAACTGACATTTTATTTTTCCATTCTCCTGTCGAAACAGTTGTCACTCATGCATTGGGGTGTGCTATCCTGACATGCATCCTCTCTTAAGCGCGATCCAAACAAACGCTTCTTTTTGCGCCTGTAGGTCGTGCGGCTGCGGATGTGATGCATTTCCTGCCGTTTTTGCTGTTTCCGGGCGCGCTTTCCGAGTCAGAACCACGGTGGTCAGAACCGTGCGCTTTGGTTTGGACCGGCCAGCTTCGGGCGAGCGCACAACAGACTGGCCGGCCAGGCCAGTCTGTCGCAGCCAGAAGGCGGCGAGAGAGAGAGAGATTGCGTTGTTATGTTGGAAGAGAATAAAAGTGGGGGGAGGAGAGGGCCAATTGTGGATGCGCACCGGGCACTTTTGTCACTTGCTCCGAGATGGCGGCGAAGAAACGCGGAGCTGGAACTAGCTTGCCCTCCACCGATTGGCTGGGACACAGGAGCGCCCTATACGTCACCGCGCGTTTTTGTGCGCGTTGAGAAAGAAGTTGAAATTATCCAACTTTTTTGTGCGCGCCCGGAAGGAGCGAAGAAGTGGCGCGACGTCACGAAAATACATCACATCCGCAGCCGCACGACCTACAGGCGCAAAAAGAAACGTTGGTTTGGATCGCGCTTTAGACAGCTCTATGAGTAGCCAGTAACACAATCTTTTAGTAAGTATCCTAAATAAGAAAATCTCAAGGCCTTGGCACGGTACCCAGGAATGAAGTGCCTTACATTCATGCTTCCGTTCATTTTTTGCATTCTATTTGGCGCATTCAGTGTTTAAAAGTGCCAGAACCCTTTTTCTAGAGCTAGGGTTTCGTGTTTTCAGTAAATACCACAAAGGCCCACAAACTAATTCCTTCTTAAAATTGGGAAAAACTATTAACCCCAAATTGGAGATGTCCTTGATTAAGAAAAGTTCAAGCTTTGTGGGAAATAAAATCTTTGTCTAGTTTACACCAACCCGGAACGTGGCATTCAGTGAACTGTCCGCAATGCTTCTTGCTTCGGAACCACACATCTTGTCTCATTTATTTTTCTTATCGGTGTGGGGATGTTTTCCCAGTATTCAGGTGACGCATGCATTCACCGGAGGTGGGGGAACTCCACGCTTGTGTCCAATTTTCTTCAACATGACCCTCGATAAACCCAGATCTTTCACTCGACACCAAAGATAAACCCTTTTCAAAAGTGTGCGCCGTCGCCTGTCCACCATTGTTTGGGCACATACTCCGAGCATGTATTGGATAACACAAAGGTTCCATCGGTGTTCGGCATGAACTCTGCTTGGCTTGTATCGAAAACGAGTGCCACGCAAGCGTTCGGCAAAGACTCGGATCCAATCGCACGCCTCATGACCAGGTCAGATGGATGCCAACGGCTGTACATTTTATATCGGGCGGTAGCTTGCACCACCTAGCCTAGTAGCCAAAAAACCAAAAGTATGACCCAAGAAATGGCTGGATGTTGGTTGCACTTTTGAAAAGGGGTCCATTAACACCAAAAAATCCAGAATCTGTGGGGAAAAAAAAAAAAATCAACCCTGAAACAACACCCCTGCATTTGAAGGACAATAAATCCAGGAAAACAAGGAACCCTAATCCTAGCCTACACAGCATATTAATTAATCCATGCTGAAATGCTCTACAGCTTCAAAGAAAAACTAAAGAGGCTCTTGAATAAAAAAGTTAAAGGTAATCTTAGATTGTTTTTATCCCATGAACCTGAATATCGCTTTCATTTTCGCCAAAGATGCAACTAAACGTGAGAAAACACGAAAAATTTCCGACCAGTCGTTACGTCATACCCAGATCTCTTGGTTGCCAAACGCGTGTCACTTTTGTGGGCAGCGAATGCAATTGCAAGCTTGAAGGTATAATCCCCCACACCGATACCAGTCGTAACATCTTTTTTTAACCTTTTTGAAAATAGCAGGAGTGCACGTGCATAGCTTTGATAGGCGATGAAGATGCGCGAGAGCAGAGATTCTGAAAACTTTGGATATGACATTAGTCTCCAGGAAGGAGGGGCTTGAGCGGTACTTTGAAGTGATTTTCTGCAGCTTTCGTGCTGCAGAAATAATTGAAAAATAATCTCGATGTTTATGATCCTGAAAGCTAAATGAATACGATGTAGGTGTTTTTCCAGAAATACAGAACAGCTTGTTTCCCTTTAAGCGTCCTGGGGTTTTTATGCACATGTAACTTTTTGTCTGCAAGAATAATTTTGGCGGACTTCTAAATTTTGTGAATTTAAGGACCCGTGAACCTTGAGAATATTAAGAACATGGAAAAATCTAGAGCTTTGCAAAAAGAATTATTAGATGACAAGATGTGTAGGAGTGATAGTATTTCGAATAAATAAACACAGGAGCATGAAAGAACGTTACGTGGTCTGTAGAATTCTTGCATTTTTATAAGGCCCTATCGTAAAACACTGAAAGAGCTATGCAAAAAAAAAAAATAATAATAAGCTAGCAGAATTTATGTTAGCACCCCAGATAATTCTGTACTCCACGATAATGCGTGGAGTACAGAATTTATTACAACTAGGCTGGACACATGCAGCTGTCAAAATGATGCACTCAGAAGCATCACCTGCACTTACAACGCAGCGCTTAGTGACTTTAAACCGTCCAAAAATAAATACATTTTTGGCTATGCAAAGCGCAAGTTTGCCTGCTTCTTGCGCAGGAGTTGCGGCAACATTGGAACACCAAGCTCCGATTGGCTCCGATTGTAAGGATAGCAGGTAGACCTCAAGGCAGCTAGCATTGAGGTGTACCCACTATTCTTCCAGTAGAAGGCAGTCGGAGCTCAACGTTCTTCACTAAAACCCCTGCACAGAAGCCGGCAAACTTGCGCTCCGCATACTCCGTTCCAACTTCCGTACAACCGCAGCTGTAACGAGCCGGCCCAACCAATCCCGCTCTGTGAACATGACACGTGATACGCTCTCTTTCTTCAAGGTCACATAACACGCACTGCCTTGAATTGACTTGGATGGTTCTTGGTATTTTCTGGGGTTGGTCATGGGTAGGGTATATACTTTCCGGTGTTTATTTTTGACAAAAATCGGCGGCTGTTTATCGGTGTTTATTTATTTCACCAATACCGGTGCTTTTCGGTGAATTCTGTCGCGCAGACACTAAGACGGTGATTATCGGGGAAAAAATTGTGAATGTAAACTAACACTGAAGACGAAAAAGACCAAATTTTATTTATATCTTTTACACAATCTCTTTCACACTTGATTATTGTAGTATATGAATGCATACATTCCTGGGCTCGTGTTTGTCACTTACGCCCACTCCCTCCCCGCTCAACATTTGCGCTGGACACGGGAAGCCCCAAAATGTCCAACAAGGCTTGGGACAGTACTGCAGACAGCTATGACTGGCCTCTCAGGCCAGTGATTGTGACCTCACTCGGCGGCCCAGGAGGCCCACTGAATTTGGAGAACAGTGGATGTGGAACTAAGCTACTGTCCTCCAAGAGTCCAAGACCCTGTAGGTCACAAAACAAAGACAGGCAAAGTGCATGATTCTAGGTAAGACATTGTGCTTGACAGAAGTTTGCGTAGGACTTTTTCAGTGAAAAAAAACACATTGCCAGAAAACAAAAAAATATTTATAAACCAGTGTTTTTTTGTTTTGAACAATTTTTATTTCCATCACGGGCGAATGTTTATTGATGTTTTTCAGTTAAAACTGGAAAGTATGCAGGACTTTTTTAGAAAAAAAAAAAACCAGCACTTGCTTGAAAATATGAAAAAAAAAAAAACGGTGTTTTTCGGTTTTAGCCGATTTTGTATATCCGACGCCGGCGGATGTTTATCGGTGTTTTTTAGTTAAAACCGGAAAGTATACAGCCTAGTCATAAGCTGAAACGTAGTGTTGAATAACCTGCATAAACCCACCATGTAAGTCCAAACATTCCTTTATTCTCAATGTAAAAGAAAAAAAGCTCACATTTGTTTCGTATTTTTAGCACACCACAACTTCACTGAGCCTTTGGTAGGAACTTGAGATGATGAGTCTGGTAGGAACTTGAGATGATGAGTCACTAGAAGTCCCAGGTGAATGCCGGCCGTCATGGCTGTCAACATTTGTGCCCGAGGCACAATGACTTGAGCACTAAATTTGATGGATAAAAGGGTAAAAAGTCGAGGACACTTCTTGGAGAAATTCAACCTTTAGTCTTCTTTCCTTTTCTCCACTTTCACCTCAAACAGCGTGTTGATCACCATGTAGCGCGAAAAGTAGCTGTACAGATGGCGAAACCACAGCATCTGGCTCTTGTGCTCGTGCAATGCTGCCTGACAAAAAGAGAAGGTAGATACAATAAAGAATGCGACAATTTTTTGTAAGGTAACTAACTATACATCTTATGCAGAAGAAAGCGGGTCCTTCTCAAAATACCATCAAGCAACACTGGTGCCCGCCGTATTTTAGGCATTGCCAGTGATGTGATTGGCCTAAGCTGTTTTGGAGCACCTTTGGAGCAGCCAAAATGGTGTTTTGGAGCAGCAAAAGTGGCCTTTGGAGCAGCCAAAACAGTGTTTTGGAGCAGCCAAAACAGTGCTTTGGAGCAGCAAAAGTGGCTTTTGGAGCAGACATTCTTAGAAAAATTAAAAATATTCGTTTCAAGTGCTGCATCACTTGAAACGAATATTTTTAATTATTACTTGCCGCAATAAACAAATTATAGTAAAGTTAGACCACCTGGGAATCTTTCAACACGTAACTGAAATGCCAATGACATCACACATTTTGTAATGCTTCAATTAAATGATACGTATATATGTACCCGCTATAGGTAAATAAGAACCAAAGTGCACATATTAAAATTTATTTGAAAATGACCAGCTTAGTATAAATTGCACAACTATAGGTTGACTAGTGATAAAATAAATGAAAGCAGTCTCCAACTGATGAAACACGTAACTACTGCAGTGCAATGCGAAATTGTCGCGCGAGCGGAGATGCCGTTGGATCGAAACCATGCCACTCTGCTCCGTCGCCAACTGGTTCCCAAAATTGTGTGCAAAATGTAACTGTCCAGCATACGACAAAAACAACTGCATCTCCACGTGGTGAATGATGTTGATTAGGGCGAAGCTCTGGTGGTGCTTGTCTGCGTAGATGCTGAGCCGCAGTACAGTGTTGCCGCAGCATGCCGAGCCTTTCGTTCGTTTAATCCATGTCACGCTGCGGTCAAATGCTCAAATGCGTATATAACCACGTTCCATACCACACATTCTCTTTCTGACATGGATTAAAACGAACGAAAGGCTCGGCATGCTGCAGCTCACCGTCTACGCAGACAAGCACCACCAGAGCTTCGCCCCAATCAACATCATTCACCACGTGGAGATACGGTTGTTGTTGTTTCTTTGCCCTACACGAGCACGGGAGCACGTGCTCACGTGCTCGTGAGCACGTGAGCGCGTGAGCTCACGAGCAGGAACATGTGCACCCGACGGCGGACGGACATACGGACATGGCAAGCCCCTAAGGAACTTCGCCCCTAAAAGCAGTCCAGCGGCACGTGCTTGCCAGGCCGGCAGGCGAGATACAAGCTAAACACACAGAAAAAAAAAAAAAAGGAAAGAACCTGAGCACATCGATGCAAGACATGACGAGCCAGGGTCAAAAAGTTCTTGGAGCGCTTCGTACAACGACTGAACTCGAGACAAACAAGCGCGCTGTGCGGGTTCAGCGTGCAGACATTGCCTTCTTTTCTTTAACTCACTTCCCTTAACCAACTTTTTTTCGCGGCAGATTTTTCACGTACCGGGGTCCCTCCCGAAAGAAAGCCCACCGACAAAAAACCTAGGTAATCAATACTTAGACACAGAAGTCTTTGAGCTAAAGAGGGATTTTTTGCAGTAGCGTATTAAACAAGAACAGGAAAGCTGATAAACATGCGGCGGTATTTAGCTTCATTTTAGAAAGCACCATATCTGCAGCGATGTGGGGACGGCAACACCCGACGTCGCGTGACCACGGTGACTGGCAGGCAGAGACCAAATATAGTTTTCCCACGGCCGTTGCTTTTAGCAGCGAGTGCTTCAGCTCACAAAGGAACTCCTGCCGCGCAAAAACGTGGTTTCGTTTCACAGCATGACGGCATGGTTGGTACCCCAGCCAGTTAGCGTCGGAGCGCCGGACACGCCCGCGTCTATCGTTAAAAAAAATTAATAATAAAAAATTAAAAAAAAAAAAAAAACGCGAGACGATGAGGACGCGGAACGCGCAAGACCGGATGAACGATTGATGCAGAGTACTTTGTGTCGGGCGGCCGCTTGCGCCACATAGCTCACAGCGTGCTCAGTTACGGTATACTCAGTTTAGTTTCGGTCTGGAAAGGCGACCAAAATTGGTCCTTCGGCGCAGGCTTGGCGCAGATTACCCATATCTTGGCCAAATGTAGCAGGATGCAGCAGGATTATCCCCTTGGCGCAGTTTGGCGCAATTGGCGCAGCAATCACATCACTGCATTGCTTCTTGAGCGAGTGGTGCTGATGCAGTGCTCTTGTCAAACACCATATTTACTTGCAGAATGAACACACTTCTTTTTCCGAAAAATCGATGCAAAGTTGGGGTGGGGGGCGTTCATTATGCGAAGTAAAATTTTCGCGCCGAGACCCCTTAACCAAACTGGGCTGTGCAAAAAAAAAAACGAGAAAAAAAAGCTCCTCTTTGTTTTGTTTTTTTCTCTCAGTTACGCTTTCTTTTTTATTTTTTTTCAGCCTTTTGCAAGCTGTTGTTTGGTTAGGCGTTGCTTAGGCGAGGGCTTCTCCGCTTATCTTTCTTATCTCCTTGCGCATGGCGCGCGACCTCTAAGTCCAGACTGCGCTGTGCAAAAAAAAAAAAGCTCCTCTCCACGTTTTTTTTTTTTTTTTGCTTCCGTTGGATCTTTTTTTATTGTTTTAACTCCTTTTGCAAGGCGTTTTGTTCGCCCACGCTGCCGATGCATTGGCGACCTCGCAGCACCAGGATAGAAAAGTGCATTCATTTCGCGCACGGGATAGAAAAGTGCGTTCATTTCGCGCACGTCCAAGTTGGGGGTGCATTTAATACGCAAGTGAAAAAAAAAGTCAAAATTTTGAGAGCCGGCTTGGGGGGTGCGCTCATTACGCGAGTGTGTTCATTGTGCAAGTAAATACGGTACACTTTGACCCGTGCACGTTTCAAATGCCGAAGCCGCACCCGTGTCCAACGCATGCCTGAGTGGCGACCTCTAATAATCGACACCCTTGCTACCGGAGGACGTGCACATTTAAAAAGGGTTGATTAAGAATATTACGGGCATATTACCTTTACAAGGGACACCATACTCCATGGCAGGACATAGGCATGATCCGATAGGATGTAGCTTAGTGGAACATCCAGTAGACTGCAGTACTTCCTCAGTTTGTTGACAGACTCCAGTGCAAAGACTTTGCATTCTAGATCGAAAAATACACCAAAAAAGGATGTGATTAGCCAAAGAAACCAAATGCATCAAAACAACAGCGCTTGGGTATGGAAGAACGTACCTGGTGGAATACGACCTTTCCTAAGCAGGTCTCTGTTGAATGAACAAAAGGAAAATATGAAGGCAATCTGCACTGCAACATAGTCCTACCCCAGATACTTAGCAGAATTGCAGAGATCCCACTCGACAGTGTCTTTAATTAGAACTTCTCACATACCCAGCTGTGAAAGCACTGTCTTGTCGCTTGCCTGTCTGCACATTTATGTTGGTTCAATAGACTGCACCACATCTGCCTTTCACTTGAGACAACTCTTAACCATCTGGTTTTTTTCAAACATTGTGAAACCGACCTAGCTTCGAAGTGTGATTGCAAAACTTCCGAAGGAATTGAAGAAGAAACTACAATTTTAATGGGACTCGACTCTCCAAGAAATTTTTGCCACGGCGACTTGGTCGGGTACAAGACTACCGATATATAGGACATAACCAGATTGCACAACTGAGCCAGCTTTCTAGAAACAAGGCCTTATCAAAGACTACAAAATGGACCGCCAAAGCTAGTGCATGAGCGGAGAGGCACATTAAGTTGAGTCTCAAGTACTTGCATGCCCCAGTCTTGGCAGGCAGGCTTTCCCACAATCTTGGCTAAGACGCTGTTGCTAGAAAGCCAGCCTTGAGTGAAAGTTTACTTTGAATGACATAAAGATGACAGTGAGCCAGAGATGAAAAAGAACAGAGTACTGTGTTTTTTCCTTTAAGCTCACAACAGTTAACGTCCGAACTAAGCATTTCTTGGTATGTATTGTCATTCGGTGTAAATAACTAACAAAGTCATCTGAAAGTGAGGTTTAGCACTCTCTTGCTATCCAAGATTATGCACACTGCGCAATACTGTTAGCACGAACAAGCGATAGCCAGCTTCTCATCAAACCTAAGCAGTGGCGCAGGCAGAGGGAAAGTTTGGGGGGTCGAAACCCCCCCCCCCCCCCCCCCCCCCCCCCCCGAAATGTCAGAGCTACCCCCCCTCCCTACGGGGCCCACTCGCTCCCCTGCTCACGCAGTCGGTTTTGCATGAGGGATGGAGCAACGGGGAAGCGCGGACCATCTCCAACTCATGTGCTTTCAGGAAAATTGTTTGTGGGGTAGAAAATGCTCAAATTAATGAAATATGCAATATTGCTCAATTCATGTTTATTCGATGGGATGCGGAACTTGATCTCAGATACATAGAGAATGGATATTTTGAAACATTTGAGGGGTGAAGGATGGCAATTTCAAGGCAAAGTATAACAAACTATTTTCACTGAAATACACAGTTCAATCAAACCAAAGTGAACATAATAAAACAAACACACACACACATAAAACAAACAATATAATACAATGTCTGTGATGTAAGGAATAATAAATCAATTGTAAAAAACAATGCCACTGTAAGCAACGAGTGGTGCTGCGCTCACGCACATCTTTTGTGATCAGAATTACGTGGTTTTGACTATAAATTGCTGCAAATAAAAAGGTAACTGTGACTAGTTATATTAGAAAGCAATTTACAGGTTCTCAGTGATTTGCTTTCCAAGTGCCTACACATTAAAATGCAGCCGCCTGCGTTCATGAAAAAAAATATCCAGGACATTCTCCGCTTGAACTTTAATGTCGCGGTGAACATTCAAAAGCGCTATACTTAGGTCCAGACGCAGCCGACGCTACAAGCGTGAGCTCCGGGCTTTCAGCGTCCCTGCCAAGCACGCGCGTTCGTGCAGTGCAAGCACTGTTCAGGGCCACATACTCGTGCTTGTAGCATCGGCTGCGTCTGAGTGTTAAGCTGAAACGAAGTATAGACCGAGCAGTTGCTCATTCGAAGTGGACGCTCTCAGTTATGTTTTCAACCGTCGTAGTGAAGAGGATGAGCGCTCAGCTTCCGCCGTAGTTAAGGGCAGAGTCGCTAGGATCTTGAGGAGACGATGGACGTTCTGAAATAGGACCTCCGGACAGAGGGCGACGGCCTGTATACCGCAGACGTGACAGGCGCTTCACGTCTCTCCCTCTTGCATTGGACGCCTAAAATTTCCCCATTTTTTGGCGAAGTTTCCCTCACTTTGCGAAAATTGTCGCTCACGGGTGCGACGAAGTCTGTCTTGCTTTCTGCTTTGTATGTCGAGGTGGCATCCGATGCAATTCCTTATTAGATTAATCTCTTTGTTGCACGGAACATCAGAAACTTCGGAGACGAGCCTTCATCTTCTCACGACGCATAGGTGCAAGGGTATAGTCAAGTTCCTTTCCACGTTCAGCGTGTAGCTTCTGTGTGGTGCGTCATGTCATTTCTCCGAGTGACGGAACGATGAGTTCGGACTGATGACTTTCCCTTACCCCGAGGATATGTCGCTGCTGCCTTTGGACCACGCTGCAAGATAAAGTGGCCTAGCAAAGGTAACACTCTCTTTCCTTTGGCATATGGTTCTGTAGCACAAATTTCCTTTAACAGATAATAGATTTTGGTTTTGTGATTGCTCAGAATTACCTTCGCCCTAAATATGGGCCCCTGGTGTTTGTGCGTGGTCGGTTGCTCCAATTCTTCAGCGTCAAAATTGTCTTTTTGCTGTTTTTTTTTTTTTTTGTGAAAGTATAGCAATTTTTGTGTGAAGTGCTATCTCAAAAGCGGAGGGAGTTGTGTGCTGTGAGAAAATCTTTTAAAGTTGGTGGGGTGCAAGCACGACGATGGTAGAACAGTGAGCCACCACGCCCGTATTGTTGTAAATGAAGCCTGCTCCGTTTTGAAAAATGACAATGCAGCTTTACCCGTTTTATCTTAACAGCACCTCCCTAATTTTTGCCTGAGCATCCGTGTCGGCGAGCTCACCCTGCGTCTTAAAGGGGGGGGGGAGGGGATGCCGTTGAACTCCTCCCGGAATAAAATCCTGGCTACGCCACTGAATCTAAGGGTTGTCATCAAAACTACTACAGTGTTGTAAGGTGCTCACTTTTTCATACTAACTTAAGATGTAAAAATGGGTGCGAGAAATACCCTTTAGAAGTAAAATTCAAAGAAGCACCAATGTCGTGTTTGTGCTAACAGTGTCACACAGTGTACATGCAATGCCTGTATAGCATTAGAAGCTTTGCAACATAAAAGAAAAAACAACAACTGCTGAACGAAAATATTTTCAGCAGAAACTACTCACACAATTCCATTGTGAACTGCAACATGGTTTAAATGACCACTGACTCCCAAATGGTCAAAAGTTATGACCTGCAAAAAACAAATATAGAATGTGTGCATAACTAAGCATGCCTTTTGAAGTGTGCCATTTTAGAATAATATGCTGGGCTGAATCAAAGATCTCCAGAAAAGAAAGCACAAAGCAAGGTCAGAAGAGCCCATGCTTACCGCATCTACAGACAAGCATTTGATGTACTTCTGTACAATTCTTCCAACCAGACTCGAGCTCCACAAGCAGTCAGGATCGTCAGGCATGTTACTACATTGGTGCAAGCAATATGCATTAGCAACGTCAACAGCACAGTCTGCTATTCTTTCCCCAACAGTCGTGTGAAAAGCTTTTCTAGACCACGTCACAGGTCCAGACAAATAAAAGAAACGGAAAAGAGAGCACACAATCAAAAGAATTGAAGTCTCAAGCAAACATAAACAATTGGTACAGAGTCTAATAACTTGAAACATTACCAGTAATTGTAAAAGTACAATAAAATAATGGACTGCTGGGATAGTTGGTTGTTGTTCACAGTTTTTGTGATGCTGGAATCGTTCAATAAACATTAGATGCCAGTTAACACCTGTCCCCTGTGTGTGTGTGTTAGTGTTCCTGACTTCAAGCTGTCCTTTTCTGTACCTTGTTTTCCTGATTACACTAATTGTAGGTTGGGATGGATGTATCGTGCAAGAAAGCAGTTCTGAGATAAGAGCACTTTTGCTTACATCCTCAAGGGGGTGACAAACATCCACTTTAATATATATATTTTGATAGTCTGCATTCTGAGGAGCGCTCAACGTTTTCACTGAAGCACCAGCTTTAGCAAATTATTTAGTAGTTTAGCTTTTGCAGTTTTGAGAGCTATGCCTATCTCAGTTCCAGTTCCTTGCTTGCACTCTCATTAAAGGCGTGTGCCAGGTTAGTTAAATTAGACTGGTTGTCATGGGGACAATACTCACATATTTTACTGCTTTGGGCAAAGCAACCCAGAACAAGTTGTGTTTTGGGAAAGAACACCAATCTGTGCATTCTAACACCGCACTGGCAAAATGTGGTGCTATAACTGACACATGCATGTGCAAAGCATCTGTTAGAAGGGGGACACCACAACACTACACCTACTATTAAACATAGTTTTACAAACAAGAAACATGTCAAAACCAATAACCTGTGTTGCACGATTATGATGTTGTCATTCCTGATGCCAAGGGTGCGACAACTGCTGTGCAATTCTTCTTTGCGTTCTTTGCCCTGTCTGTAATAATCTCCTGGAAAGCAATCAAAGTAATGAATGTCTAATTCTTTTTAAAACAGCTTCTGGCGAGTTGTACCGTCAGGCTGAACAATGTCGACAATATAGAAGACAAATGTTTCTTTTCGCTTGTAATTTACTTCAAACTAGCTTCTTAAAAGTATGTGGTCGGCAAATTGTCTTGGATTGAAATCAACTCCCTCCTTCATCACCATGGCGACGCCGATTTCCGTTGTGCGAGTAGAGTTCTTATCTGGCGCAAGGCGATTCGTAGCATTCTAGAATAAAAGATCTACTCTACGAAGAGGCACTTACCTATAGATAAGCACAGTAGATAGAGCTCGCATTCCTGCTCTAATAGTCCGATCACGCAGGGCCCGAAGAACATACACTCGTCGTCCGGATGGGCTATCACGAGCAACGCTTTGCGAACAGCGTCGATGCGCTTATGTGTCCTCAGGCGACACAGCTTGCACAGAAACAAGTAACAAAGAAGGAAAAAAGAAATGATGAACACGTAGATCGAACACCACCAACGGTATTCCATCGCACGCTGGAAGCGGAATCAGCAACTCGCGTATAACGCAGAGTTTTTTGGCAGAGACCCGAGTGGAGACCTTCCGCTGCTCCCGGTCAACGGGCACATTGTCTCAAAAAAGAACAGTAATTCGATACCGAACTACCTTGGAACAATTTTAAGGCGCCCGACTCAGCCAAGGCTTGCACCGCGACAAAAGAACGGGAATCTGCGTACACACTGACCGAGCGCACGCTAATAACTTTGAAAATGGCGACATATTTCCAAGGTTGCTTGACGAGATGCGACAGCTTCCGTTACATCGAACGTACGCCGGGAAACCGAAAGCAGATTTTCTAGATTTTGAAAATGACAACAGACGGTACGAAACATAACCGTAGCTTTATTTATTACAAAATATATGGTAATGAACATGTTTCAATACATTACAAGCCACAGATAACACACAAACAAAGACCCCCAAAATGTCTGCTGTTGAAAACGACATTCAATAAAAAGGCAAACACGATTCCAAATAGCGCCGACTGAAGTAAAATACTACGTACGCGTTTAAGGTACCTAAAGTCAAGGCTTAAAATATTTCTGGACTGTCAGCCGAGTGCAGCGGACTCGAAAGAATTATAGTGTCCTCATCACTCGCAGCTGGTGCCTCCACAGACATCACACTCAAACTTGATACCTGTCCACACTTATTTACATCGTCACTGCAGCGATTTTCGTATGCGGTCATTTCGACGACATTCAGAGAATCCGTGGTTTCTCCCATTCTTACGGAGGTTGGCGAACCAATTATGGTGTCTTCATCAAACACACAATTCACAGCTGGTGTTCCCATAGACATCCCACTTGAACCTGATGCCTCTTCACACATTCTTTCGGCATTACAGTGCTTTTTGCACGGATTGATTTCCACGACATTCAATGAATCCACAGTTTCTTCCGTGTTCGTGGAGGCTGGCGAAAGAATTATGCTGTCTTTGTCAGATGTGCAGTCTGCTGTTGATGCATCTAGGGACATAACCACAGTCGATGACACCCCATGGTCCATCTGCCCGACGGTAGACTCAGTTTGTAAGGTGCTCATTTCCACAGTGCTTGATGACAGCACACCACCATCCACTATCATGCAGGCTTCCTGGCTGCTATCATCTGTCAACTCGAAGACACTTGCAGAGCCGGTGGACATGGTGACATCTCCAGTCAAGATCAAGCTGTGGTCACAGTTGACTAGTCCTGTTGAAGCATAGCCATTACTAGTGCCTGCAACCATCATTGCTTCCAGAGTTGGAGGTCCTGCCCAGCTTGCGACAGCACCATTGGCACACTGTGCATCTTCAGTGCTCATTTTTGAATCCATGAATGCCTTCAAGGAGCCCATGGCTTCTTCATATCGATTGAAGCACCGAAATCTGTCTCTGATCCACTTGGATAAGGCTGAAAGCATAAAAATACACACACATGTAGTTTGGGCTCCACTTATATAAAGGAAAATAGACTAAAATATGTTCTAGGCATTAAAACATAAACATGACATCTACAAGAGCTATATTTCTGGTGTCTCTTTTTTCTGGATTTTCACCGACCTAGAAAAACATGCTTAGAATTATTATTATTAAAAATGCTAGTGTACCAAAAAAATGAGCATGTAGGTTTTTTTGAATGGACTATTCTTGTGTTGTGTCCATCATTTATTTTTATTGCCCGTTCTTAAAGGTAAGCTGAAGAGGTTCCAGAACTTAAAAAGCTGCAAGTAAGTAGTAGTTGTAAGTTGTAAGTAGGCAGTTTATACGAGGGTGATTAAAAAATTATACGCACTCCAGTTATCCCAAAATTCTTCTGTTGACCGCACTGTCTTATCAGTACGTTTCGTACAAGGTCGCCGTCTCCCTAGTCACTGCTCTGCAGGTTTGAATGCGTTACGCCAGTTCACTTGTGATTGCAGTGTGAGAAATGGCTTCCTCACTTGTGACTTTAAAGAAAGAGCAGCGTGCAGTGATTCCTTCTTCATGGTCTGAGGGTGTGTCTGGTGCCGATATTTATTGAATACTTTGTGCACAGTTTGAAGAAAGTGTTTTGTCTTGAAGAAGTGAGTTTGAATAGAAACAGAAGTTTAAGGAAGGACGCACCTGTAAAGGGGCCAAATGCCTGTTCATGTCCACAACTGGTGACAACATTGGGCGTACACATTAAAGTTGTCATGCAATGATATTGGATAGGAATATTTCTTACTTTACACGAGCCTACCGGCACTAGCGGGGCCCAAGTATACTTGCAGCCAACATCACTTACCAAGAACCTTCTTTGTCGCAATATAAGTTCAAAGGTTTAAAGCGGACTTTTGCTTTTCAGTTTCTCACTCGCAACACTAGGTGACGTAGTCATAGGGATCGCAGTGTGGACACAGCCAGAGTGGTTACCCATGGTAATGATATCCAAATGTGGCTCATGGATTGGACATGAGCACTGCGTGAGCACTTGATTTAAGTTTGTGACAATCAATGCCTCGACGAGTATTTGGGTAGTGGCTCTCGTCTAATCGTTGCAATGACGGGAATGACCGAACAAATCCTGACAACATCTGGAGCTCAGCACGTGCCTTGTGCTTGGCCGACCCCAGTGCGTCGATGTATGATGAACATGGGGGCACATTATCGGTGCCATGCCACATCACACGGCCACTAGTTAAGGCTGTGAGTTTAGGGGTTGAATGCCGCTCGTTCTTCTCAACTCTTTTATGCAGCTGCCATTGAGTGTAGAAAAAATCTAACCAGTGTTTCATAGGTTATGGTAGCCAAGGATTAATTCTGAGTGGTGTTCAGTGAAAGAACAAAAACCGTCAACTGATTTTATCGGATATATGAGCAACGGTGAATGATGTGGCAAATCGTTCATGAATCAGGCAAGGCTCTGCCTATGCAATAATGCAAGACAGGCTTGGGTATCAAAACATTTTGATTAAAATAATATCTAGACAGAGTATAGATAACTTTTTAATCACCTTTGTAATTTACATGTTTCAAACTTTTTTTTTTTATTTGCACGAGAAACGTAATCACCAATAAAAACATTTCTGTCACTCTACCCCCCTCCCATCTTGCGGCAAGGAGAATGCCACATCTTACATACATTAAACAATCTCACCTTTCTGATAACGACCGTTCTCAGAGAAACGTTGATCCACCACAATCAGTGCACCCCAATCCAGCCTGAAATGCAAGAAAGAAAGTGCAAAGCACATTGTGTATAAAATATGAAAAAGGTAACCAAGCCACACATTATACATATTTACCGAGGTGCAAATCAAACATTTGCCGTATATTACCGCATAAAAGTCAACCTTTTTTTTTTTTTTTTTTTTTTTGTAGAAATGGGTATTTTAAACTAAAATTCCTAAAAATAACAACGAAAAAAACCAAATTTATTGGCCAGAATCTGGGGGGATTAACTTATATTTGAAGCTGACCTATACGTGGTAACATATGACTCTAACTGCTCCACAAGGATGCCATGTTTACCGATATCCAATGGCTTTCACTACAAAGCCAGGGCCCGTTTTCTCGAACGCGAACCGTGGGTTAAAGTTAACTATTGTCCCTAGAAGGGGGAACTCTAGATCACGTGACTGGGAGAGCAGGGGCGCCGAGGGAGGAGCAGTACCTACAAGCAAAATGGCCGCGACGTCGCTTAATGAGGGCTAATAGTTCTGCTTGGTTCTGCTGAACATTCATTTCGATCCGGCTGTTATATTAATGACGCACCATCAACCTATTAGCACGTCAAGCAAAGCGGTAGTTCAGAGGAACTACTAAACTAACCGACGGTAGCATTCCGCGAACGCATCACTCTTCAGCAGTCCGAGATCCAAGACATATGACGGTACATAAGCCTTGCAAGTGTTTTTTATGGTGAGCAAAAAAATGTTTTGCGAACGAGTGTTGGTATATATTTATACTAACACGTTTAATTTGTTGCACTATGCACGCCAACTCGTGAGCAGCGATTACTTTGCGGAGAAAGGGGGTTATCCTCGATAAAGTCTTCATTCCGGGTCAACAGCTGGGACATTGTACTGTTTTTTTTGTTCGCAGTGCGCCGACAGTATGCCGACAGCATCGAGGTTCCTACATATCCCCGGTGGCCAGCAATTCAACTGTGACGAGAAGCTTAGCTTCTCGTCACCGGTGGATCGGTTGGGCAAACGGAAGAGAGGGCAAACAGTTAAGATCAGCAGGAGTCGCAGAAACGGGCGTCGCAAGAAACAAAAACGATACTACAGCACCGGCGTTGCCAGACTGGAAGGCACACGGGAAAGTTATGCGTTGTTTATGGCGAAACATTTGAAGGAAATGTTTCTTGCATTTTCGAATATTCGTCGACAAACTCTAGCACATTAGCTAAAATTTCTTCGTACCATCTGAAGCAAATAAATTTGTCTTCAAGTACAAAATTACTATATTTTGACTTTAAATACCATACTAGGTCGATAACAACCAGCGGAAAAAGAGGATAAACAAAGTGACTGGCTTGTTTCACCGATAGATGGCGCATCTTACTGCCCAATCAAGAATAATTATTGTTGTTTTATATCCAGCCGTTTATTACAGTACCTAGGTACTTTTTCCTTCCTAGACACCGTGGTTTACCAAAATGGGCTTACCATCGCTTCGAGAAAACCGGCCCAGGTCAGTTAATTCTCGCCAGTTCAGAACTACCGCAAAAACAGAAAGAATTTCTCTGCATAAACTGCCAACTTCATGGCTTCTTTGTAAAATTAGCAGCACACACAAATGGGAAATTTAACTGAATGTATTGAGCATGCTTTTTTTAGAGTATACTCCAGGGTCTAGTATAACCTAGCTCAGAGGCGGATACAGAACTCCGTTCTGGGGGGGGGGGGGGGGTTTGTAAGGATATTATTCTCCCATTCTTCCTGTGTACCGGGGGGGGTCCACCCATGTCAAATTGCCCTCCGAGAAGGAAGAAGGGGTGGGGGGGGGGGGGGGGGGGGGGGTCGCTCTTGTTGCTTTTCCTTGGATCCACCCCTGACCTATCTTCATCTAAAATAATGGCAGGAAGAGGACTCCAAAAATAAAGCCCTTCAAGTCAACCATCCTGTACCAACTGCAGCATTCCTAGATGAACTTATTAAAGGGTATTAGCAGCACCTCAGTTTTACACTCCAAAGATGGACTAAGAAGTACCATTACATGAAAACAGCTTGCCAACCTGTGCCGTATGCATCTTCCAAGAGCTTGGTTGAGAGCACGGAAGGCTTGAGTCTCGTACCAGAAGTTTCCGCACATCACCGGCCTCCCTGATTTGCTGCATTGGTCATTGTACTTGCGCTTCTGGTCCACCTACAAAGAAAATAACAACACAAGTGCTATGTGGCAAACTGGATGTATAATTATGAATATTATAACTAGGGTTCTGTGTTTTCGGGGATTATATTCCCCCCAGATTTGGTGTTTTTCGAAGTGGGGTTTTCATGTCGGTAAAAAGCTCTGCATTTACTGGGACTTACGTTAAGGAAAACAGGACACAGACATCAAATTTTCCAGCCCCCAGGAAATATCTGTGTAAACCAAATACTTAAAAAAAAAAAAAAATTCAGAGAAAAGAAAAAAAAAGAGAAAATGGGACAATGAACATGCTTGTCAAAGAGAGAAGCAAGCCTTGCGGACAGTTCAGTTTGGGCCGTGTCCGAAATCAACTAAAAAAAAGCTATACAATTTTTTGTTTACCCTCGTCCCCAGCCACGTAGTTGACAAATCCGGTATGTGGGATAAAATAAAGCAAGGTATTACAACCTGGAACAAGTAAAAGACTACGGAAAAGGCAAAACAAGAATGATAGACAGTCGCAATTAAAACGTGAGCTTCTCCCAGTGGTGTGGCAAGAGCAACGCGATGCTTTCCCACATATTGGAAGTTCCGTGATTCAAGGTTGCGGCGCCCGCATAGAGAAGGTCTATAGCTAAAGATTACTTTCGGTGAAACCTGTGTTCCTCTTATTTAAGGGCAGCTCCAACTTGTGATTTTTCTGTCTTCCCCAATTTCGGTAAAACGTCCACAAACGTTACTAAGACCGGCGTTTAGTGGAACTTACAGGAAACATGAAACCCTAATCAGAACTAAAGTTTAGTCTTGTGCGAATAGTGGATTTTGAGTTCGAAGCGAATACTGGTTTCGGCCGAATATTTTCGATTTGAATATAGAATAGTTTTTCCATGCCTTTCACTACCATAGCATAATGGTTAGACGAAATCCCAGCTAGACTCGTGAAGGTTGCTCCACTTGTTCATTTTTAAGCTAAGTTTAGTCTATCTATATTTATGAACTGTGACCTCAGAAGGTCTGATGTCTTGGGATGGCAAGTAAACAATGGATCTGACATAAAATGAATCCTATACAGATGGCAAAATATACTCAATTGAGTGAATTTACAAATCTGGCTATATAAAATATTCTTTCTTTAATCTCGAGTGAAAAAAGAATAAACCGTGCGTGCTGAACGCAGGTTGTAAGCGCATCTCCGCCTAACGTAGTATACTATTGCATAACTGTCAGTGGAGCCCTGCGCGGATAACAGTTCGATTATCCGCATCCGCAGACTTTGTATCCGCATCCGAACCGCATCCGCCAGCTTTTTACATTATTGTATTCGTATCCGAACTGCATCCGCAAAATGTGAAACCACACCCGACTCAGAATCCAGGCATTCATTGTAGATCATAACACCAAGCGTGAATGAAAGAAGAAAAAAAAAATACAAATAGACCTTTTTAAGTCGTTTGCTTATCTTTATACAAAGAAATCTTTGGGTCACCCTACGCAGTGGATGTCATTTTACCATTATCAGTTTCATCGTATTTATATTAAAAGCGATCAGCCTTCCCGAGACACTGTGCGTCGAAGGAAAAATGATCTCAGTTATGTGATCGTCCTAGGAGTCCGTGACACTCTGTCCGGAGAGTCGTCCACTCTTTCCCTGCCAATGTACTAGCTTTCTCGGGACGATTGATGCCCTGGATTCTTCAGTTTTTCTATAGATAGCATTTTTGACGAGATGGAACGCACTAACTGAAGCGATCTTCAGTGAGAATCAGATCTTTGTTAGGATTCCTACTGTTTCTTCGAAACGCGTTTTGTGGTAATACGTTTCGTGGACAACTTTTCATGGACAGACGGTTTGACGACGCTGTACGTTTTCTGATCACATGTCCCAGTGACGTTTCCTCGACAACGCATTTCTTCACTAAGCCGCTAAAAGCTAGCACGCGATTCACTAAGGCACGCTTAACCAAACCATGCAGCCCTCCCCCTGTAATCCAGGTGAGACACAAAATGTTTGTTACGAAAATAGCTGAGTTGTGTGCGACGAAACGTCTCAGGTTTTTCTATGAACTGCCCGGTGGCATTCAGTCGACGAACTGAATGCCACCGGGCAAAAATTTAGGTCCGGATCCGCGGATATCTGCATCCGCAACCCCTGACATCCGCATCTGATCCGCAGTCCGCCAAAATTTGTCTAATATTTATCCGATCCACCAGTCCACTGCGGATATCCGCGGATATGCAGGGCTCTACCAGTCAGTTTAATTTTAAAACTTTTACTACAACGTCGACGTACACATTCACAAATTTTCCATTTATTTTAAAATACAGCCGGCACCTGTGCACTATCCCACTTTGAATATATGCCTTTCTTCCAAGCACGCAATTGCGATATTCATACTTTTCCAACTGTTTAATCCTGGTGGGTTACCCAGTTGAGTGCGCTTCTTACCGAGCATTGATGTAATGCAGGGAAGCAAAACCCGCGGAGCTCGCTTCCGTGGGTATTGCTTCTACGCAGTGCACCGGTGCTCGGTAAGAAGTGCACTCAACGAAGCTAACTCGCCACAATCAAGATTTCGAAAAACGTGAATAGTGCAGTTCTTCTCGAAGTGAATATTGAATAGTGTATTAGGTATTCGAAAGTACTATTCGAAATTTCGAATATTCGCACAAACCTACTAAAGTTCCATCCTCCCCAACTAACTCAGCGACTTGCCAAGAAAGGTCTCACAATGCAATTTTGAAGAGTCAGACTACTTGCAGCTGGTTGCACCCTATCCCCCTTCTTGTTTGAAATGTCTCCCCTCCCCACTCCCAACCGCAATGCCTCACCCAGCTAGATCAGGAAAGAAACAGACAGAAAGGCTCACCTGGATGTCCTTGACATTTGGAAAGGGAATTCCAACCTGTAATCATGGAGGCAGAGGAAATGCTGCTTAAGTGCCGCAAATCTTCCATTCCTTGTCCATATAGGGTTGTCGCAAAACTTTTGTAGAACCTCGAAATTCGACTGGTTTGGCGAACCTTCAAACTTTTACCAAAATTTGACCAAGTTTGACACTGTAAACAGTGTTGCCGGAATAGTAATAAAAACAAATTAATTGCTGGCAAACAGATTTATAAAGTATCTAGTTTTAAATTTTAGAGGATAATTATCAATGTTTACACCATAAAAAACCAAAACAAAAAGAAACATAACATTTGAATCATTTCGTAATATTGTTTAAATTTTCAAATGCTGCCCCCCCTCCCCTGCCAGATGATGCCAGCTTGTTTTCAATTTACAAAAAAAGGCACATAATAAACTAGCTTCTGTCAAAAGTTAAAATTTTGAAAAAATTGAACCTGGTCGAATTCAAATCTGTTCGTATGCAGTTTCGCAACATCCTGTTCATAATATTCTTTTAAATATTAAGGTATATATTTTTCTGTTAGAACAATAGAAGTATGATTTAGACATCCTGAAAATGTTAATTGTGGAACTAAAACTTAAATTTAAACGTCTAAAAAGCTTTTTTTTTTTTTTTTTGTTTCAGTACTTTTGTGACAGAGCATTGCATCAAACCTCCCTCTTATTTCCTTTCTCGCACAGTTATACAGTTGAACCTCGATTTAACAAAGTCACCGGGACCCGCTAATTACTTCGTTAAATTGGGAACTTCGTAAAATTGAGGAAGGAAGACCTCGCGCATAGGCTGCGCGGGGAATGCGAATTTCTTCGTTAAATTGGGAAATTTGTAAAATCAGGTTTCGTTAAATCGAGGTTCAACTGTACTTGTGTTGCTGCATATTTGTAAAATTAAAAAAAATTAGTCCCACCACGCACAAAGTCACTTTCACTTCCATCCAATTTTCATAAACTACCCAGTGCTATAGCACTTTAATAATCTCAGCAATGTACCCCGCCAGAAACTTCACAGCACGAGAAAATGCAAGAGTTCATCCTATCCATCCTATTTACTGAAAAACCACCTACTTTTATGACATCTGGGAACATCGAGTCACTAATACCTGGCCCACGAATGAAAACTGAAGTCACAATTGCGACATTTTAGAATCGTAACTGAGCTTGGGGAATTGTAGGCCGGCCAAAAAATTTTCCAAATGTTAAGAATGTGGCAAATGCAGGACGCGTCATAAACGAGGCAGCGAACGACGGCCAAAGTGCTCACCGTCACGACAGCTCTTGCGGTGTTGTCCGCAAAGTCCATTCCCTCGCTCACTTTCCCTCGACACACGGCGAGGAGAAGCGCTCCCGTGCCCGGAACATCTGAAAATTGAAAAATGAAACCACGAAGAAACACTAAAATCAGGTGTAGGAATAACGAAACTAGTAATTTAGAACTAAAAGTGCGGACAACTTTATGTAGCTATACAGTCAAGGGTACTGGAGCGCATGCCTAAACGCCGAATAAAGCTGTGCACGCGCACTCCTCCTCTTGTGGAAAATGTCGCAGAAAGTTGTCCACGGATACAGAAGCGAGGAAACGAGAGTAAACCGCAGTCGCAAACATTTGACTGCTAAAAAATGCAGGTCGCACACTCGGAAAAAATTAACTCACCCACGGCTTCCCTGGTAGCATATCTGCAATACTCCACCATGGAGGCATCAAAGCTTGCGGCATCTGCCTTCTGCGGCTCCACGAAGATGCATTTGTGCTCAGAGATGTTGTCCCACATGCCGGTGTTCTGAATTGCAAAGAGAGCATGCCTATAATTGAAACATGCTACAAACTCGGCAACTCGAACAAGGAGTTGCAGGGCGTCTAGAAAACAGGCAAAAGTACATTTATGATTGGAGACACAAGTAGAGTACTTTCCTAATTAATAAATTACTTACTGGGGGGGGTGCTCTCATAATTTCACCTTGCAACCATACCCTCCCTCTCCCTTGGCTAGCGATAGATACCAAAACCACCTAGATACAGTAAAACCTCGTTGGGTACATTCCTGGTTTTTGCCTTTTTCCCGGCTTTTACGTTTAAAACCGCCGGTCCCGCCAAGCTCCCATAGGAACATGTCCATTGATTTCCCGCTTATTACGGTTGTCATCCCGGTTTTTGCGCCCAAAGACCACCGATGCGTGCCATGTCTTGGCATTGTTATGCAACACCATGCACCGTCCACACTGCGGAGTCGCAAGCGCCGTTAAGGAGAGCGGAGGAGCATAAACGTACAATGACATACCGCCAGTAGTATGGAGCCATAGCTTCCACAGTGGCAGGGCACAACAAAACTAGTTAAAATTCAGCCAACATATTTTTTCGTCGATAATTTAATTAATTCAAATGCTTTGGCGTTCTCAGACATAATTTTCTAGTCTATTTCTCGTCTTACAATAAAGTGAGTACAGAGAGGATGCACCTGTCAGACAGAAATCAAAGATGTCAGTCTTCTGCATTTTTCAGATTGCCATATCCCAGATGAGTGTGCGTGCCTCATGAAAAAAGGAAATGTTCCTTGGGCAGAATGACTTCAAAGGAAGCATGCCAGCAATGAGCACATGAAGGAAATGCTTCTGTTTCTCTTTGCTGACTCCGTGCGTGCCTGCCCGCATAGCACCACTAAGCGCTGTCCAAAGCTTTTTTTTTTTTCTTTTTTTCTCTCCTGTGGGATTGACAAGTTTGCTGAAGTAACTCTTCTGCTCTTGCTCCACACCCCTGCTTGCCCGGGACCACCCGCCCTGCACCAAAAATGGCTTTGGGGCCTCAGATGTTTCAAGAACCGCCATTCATCTTTCCATCTCTTACACCGCGCGCTGTGCTCACGCACTTTCACGCTGCGTGCCACAGTTGCATAAGTCTATGGTTTCGGTTGGGGTCTGTGGTCTCGCTTCTCGGCCCCTCCAGTTTTGTTTTGTGCGAGTTGACTTCCATTGGTGGCCATGGCATCGCAGAAAAAAAAGGTGCCAGGTTTCCAGGAGAAGTTGGACGTTCTCCGAGTGGTTGATCGCAGTCCCAGTCAAAAGAGAATGGACATCACAAAAGACCTCGGGATTGCACCGTCAAGTTTGAACAGCATCACTGCAAAACGAAAGAACATAAAGGTGCGAGCTTCTGCGTTCCACCCAGGCTCCAAGCAAGCTCGGACGGCAAAGCACGCCGAGTTGGAACAGGCTCTGCTGGTATGGTTTAAACAAGCCCGGGCATCTCGTGTCAATCGATGAAAGCATCCTGTAAGAGAGGATGCAAGATGTCGCAGAACTTTTGGATAGCACGGACTTCGCGTGTTCCAACAGGTGGATCGACCGCTTCAAGAAGCGCCACGGAATTTCGTACTGCGCAGCAAACAGTGAAGCGGCCAGCGTTGACCCAGTACATGTCGAAGAGTTTAAGTCATCACTGTTATTGATCATCGTCGACTAATGCCGATGAGGCTGGCCTTTTTTTTTTTCGTGTGCAGCCTTCAAAGTCACTGAGCCTCAAGGGTGAGGCTTGTCACGAAGGAAAAATTAGCAAGCAGCATCTTACTGTACTCTTTTGCTGCAACGAAGATGGATTGGAGGAGATGAGGCTGTGGGTCATTGGGAAGTTCGGCAGTCCGCAATGTTTTAAAAACATCTGTAGGTTGCCTTGTCACTACTGACACAACACTCGGGCGTGGATGGCCTGCACTCTTTTCGAAAGCCTCCTGCAGTACTTGGACCCACAAACGGGGTTGCAAAACAGAAAGGCCCTGCTGCTCGTCGACAACTGTCCCACCCACCCAAAGGACCTTTCGTTCCTCAGGAAGTGTGCAGTACCTTCCTCCGAATACAGGCCATGTGCAGCCACTCTGACGCAGGGATAATAAAAAAAAAATGTTGAACACTTCTCCAGGAAGTGGATTGTTCAGCGATTGCTCCCTACGGTAGAATGAGGCAAGACTCCAACCAAGCTCACCACCCTGGATGCGATGCCCTTCCATGCAACAGCGTGGGATATCGTCTCAATCACCACCATCCAGCATTGCTTCCGTGGGTTTGAACACACAGGGTCAGGACGAGCGCTAGCTGAGGGCAACGCCAACAAGGATTCCGAAGATGCGCAAGAAATGGAGGATGCGATGAAGAAAGTGGGAGCCCCCTCCCCTGGTCGGAATACCTGTCAGTTGACAAGGACATCATCACCTCTGAACCGATGAACATATCGGATATCGTCAACGCCGCGGTTGACAATGCTGAAAGTGGTGAGGATGTGGAGGACGCAGTCACTGGTTACGCAACATTCACGTTCGCGGATGCGATCGTGGTATTGGGTACCTTGCACAGGTATGCGAGTGTTCGTTGCTGTGCAGGCGGTGAGAAAGGGTTGCGGCAGCTCGAAAGGAAACTCTTACTATCAAGCAGTAGCTCGAAGCGCAAGGCAGACTTACAGGCTTTTTTTAAACTTGTTTGTGTTCCAATGCCCACGAAAGTTTGCGTGAAATTAAATATTGCTATCAACGTTGCTCTCGTCCCTAGCCCCCAAGGGCCTTCTCGTTTTTTAGGTTTTCCCAGATTATATGATATTTTTCCCACAGTCCCCTGAAAAATGTATTAATGAGGTTCTACTGTAGAAAGCCGCAGTTCTGAATTTTCTGTTGCCTACCAACGAGATCACGGAACGAGTCACAGACAATACCGGAGTGCTGTGTCAGTGTTCGTTTGGGACTCATAGATCCAGCTGAACGCTGGTGTAGAGCTCATAACCAATATGTGTCCTACACTGGCTCTCGGGAGGTGACATAAAATACAGCACTATTGTTTTCTATCTAGGTGGCATTGTAGAAACTGTCAGAAATTATCACTCTTGCTCAGATACAAGGGTGATAGAAAGGGACCGGAGTGAGGCTTCTGTAACAGTGAAGAGATTAAATAAAACAGACAAACCATACTACACCACCAGCCAGAGTGCTGCAGAAAACCTTTTGTGAAGAAAAACCTATAGGCAACAATTTGTTTCTGTCACTCGGTGCTTTAATACAGAGCCTGAGGGATCCACTTTGCAGCATCCTCTCTACCCAGGAAAGAAAATGAGTGCAGGAAACCTTCCTATGACCAGAGTCTAACCACCTTGGCTGAACTGAAAAGCAGAAGACTGCATTGCATGGGTTCAGTGGTTGCATAGGTTTCTTTCATCTTTTTTTTCTTAGACTCTCTTTATGTTCACTTCTGTTTTTGGAACTTTCTGTGCTTTTTTTGTTTTTAAATTTTGCAGCTGATATTTGATTTTCTGGGAACCCTCCAAGATAAAGGCTGAAAAAATACATAGCAAATTCGTTCCACAACCCGAAAAAGAGTTTGTGACATCTGGCATCAAGTTTAAGAAGGTTGACTGTGCATGAATAAGCATTTAAAGAGAAGATGAAGAGGTTCTTGAAAAAAAAGAAGTTGGAGGTGAATTCTAGCGTACTTTTGTACTGCGAATTTGAATATCACGAGCATTTGAATGAAACATATCAATAAATTCGAGAGAGACCAAAAAACCAACCGCTGGGTGTGACGTCATACCCAGAGGTTTCAGCTGCCTTGAATGTGCCACTTGTGAGGGAATGCGAACAGTGTTTCTGATCGCTCAGGTAAAGCATGCGGCATGCGCGGAAATGTTGAGATCTCTGTATAGCACGTTACAATTCTCTCTTCCCACTGAACGCGCCGGGAAGGAGGGCTTCAGTGCTATATTGAAAGTACTGCTGTGGCTACTTGGCAGATTTATCTGAACTATAATTTTGACATTCGTGATTCTGGACGTTAAATGAAGACAATATAAGAACTTTTTTCTAAAATACAGAACTGCTTCAGTTTCCCTTTAAATCCATTTTATAGATTTTTGTCTTCTTCCTCATGGACAATATCTGCTTACACAATGTGCAGAGATTTCATTAAATCAAAACTGCAAACAAAAACTACCTCACAAAATTTAGAAGATACATGGTCTTTGAGACCGATCTCACCAAGCGTTCGACACATGAGTGAGGCCACCATAACTTTGGTCTGCAAGAGGCAGAAGGCAGTGCATGCGATGGCACCACGTGCAGACCTACAGCGAGGTGGTCGCACGTGCAGAACGACTAAAGTTCCCTCGATACATTGCGGCAGCGCAGCCAAACTGGCTGGTGAGATCGGTCTAATGATGTGGGGTACGACGAAAATTTTCGTCAGATTGCAAATATAATTTTTAAAAAAAGTGAAGTTTACTATTATTAATGCTTAGCTGCACAATTGGTATGTGATAAGATTGGAAACAATTTCTTCATAATGCGGATGCTTGGGCTACTTGGTAATGCATGGTTAGATGGAACAGCGTGGATATACAGTCACGCTCACAGGCACACAAGAAAGAAACAGCGCTGCGAGTCTGTTTCTTTCTTGTGTGCCTGAGAGTGTGACTGTATATCCGCGCTCTTCCATCCAAGTACAATAAACTTTCATTGATTCAACCTCGACGGGACCTCCAAATTTGGTCGAATTATCTGAATGATCGAATTAAAAAAAGGACAGAAAAACGGTTAAAATTACACTTCCTTTTACTGTCCACAGTACTCACTGATGGTCTGCTGCCATCTTCGCTTAAAACGCGAGTCTAAAAGCACGCTCCGGAGAACAGCATAACTAAACGTCACAACCCCAAAGTATCGCGCACTAGAAAAAAAAAAAGTTTTTTTTGAGCTGACTTTGGCGCTGAGCAGCCAGACCATCGGTGACAAAAAAAAATAACACACAAATAAAAAAAGAAAACCCGCGCTTTCCGGTGCGCAAGATGGACCGGCACGCAAGATGGACCGTACACGATGCTACAGAAAAACGCTTGGAGTGGGCGCTGAGAAAGCTTTACGAGCGAGCGACTTTGGCGCCAGGCGGCCAAACCGTCGGCGACAGAGGAAAATAACAAAAGAAAGGAAAAGAGAACTCGCGCTTTCCGGAGCGCAAGATGGACCGCACACGTTGGTACAGAAAAGCACCTGGAGTGCGCGCGCCGCGCGCTTGCTGTCTTTGCGCCCAATTTCGTGCTATGTTCTCCGCGCTATTCCACACCAGATTGGTTGCACTGGCTCGTGACATTCGCTACAGTCCATCTCAAGGGCGTAGAGGAGCAGGCGCATATTTGCGCATGTTCGGCTTTGCAGCAAAGAGCCTGTGTTTCGCCGTACGTTGGTGGTCTTTCTGCCGTAGTGCCGTGCAATGTGAGCCCGCACGCATTCGCTCAGGACGAATTAACCGATACAAAGTCTTCCCGTGTTCGAACTATCAAACTTTTCGTCCCATATAAATATAAGGGCGCTCGCCGGGACTTTAGAACATGATCGAATTAAACGAAAAGTCGAATTAACCGAGGCCGAACTAACGAAAGTTTACTGTATGAATTTCTTCATCTTTTTATCGAGAGTTAGGCACCCCAACTGTAGGAAGTTTTGATGTCTGATGTTTATTGAAATTAAACGAAAAGTTAAAGACTGTGAAGAGCAGATAACCAAAGCAGCACGCACATAACAGAGGAACAAATTTTTCTCGAATATCTATCTAGTGGGATCCTTCTAGTTGGTGCCTGCATTAATAATACTATGCAGTGAATGCTTTTCCATCCAATATTAAAATTAAAATGCAAATCGTGCACCAATCTGCATGAAGTATTAAATATTAAAATACTTTATTTATTCAAATATAAGGCGGTCACGATTGTAAGGCGAGGGGGCAGTTGAAGGACCTAAGAAAAAGAAAAAAAATCGTCATATTGCTATACTGAGCTTCGAATATTGGGCAGGAGATCGAACTCTGACCCGTTTGTTTTCCCCACGCTCGGTGTTTACTCAACACAAGGCCTGTACACATGCCAACAGGCCTTATGGGCATGGCCATGTCATCTTCTACAATAGAGCGCGGGGCACAGTTTAATGTAAAAAATACTAACAATCGACGAAGCGACGTTAAGTGCCGGATCTATCCTCAGAGAATGCGAGCTTGACCCACTTCGGCTTTTGTGCTGAGCTGGGATCGTGCATGCTGCATTGTTCATGCAGGCCGTCGTGGAAACAAAAGAGGCCCTCCTCTCCCTCGCCGGAGAACACGAACTCCAGCCGAACGCTGACGCCGCGTTCGGTTATGTCGGCCGAGCGCTGCGTCATTGTATATGTTGTCCCCATCCGTGTAGTTGATAAGTTAACCGCTTGGGGCGTAACGGTCTGTCCTCCTCCCCAATAGGGTGGGGTATGACTCCGAGACTACGGATTTTGGAAGAAAACCTCGCCTTATATTCGAATAAATACGGTATGATTCATGGTCTAAATTTTGGTATAGTACGTAGTTCCATACCACTACCGAAACTGCACCGCTAATCTGACTAAACATAAATACACTATTCTATTCGCAGTATATAAAATATGAATCTGTGTAAATTGCTAATAAAATATGGAAAGTACCCGCCATCGCTGCACCAGTTTGTTCATCATGCCGTATGATGTAAAGAAGCAGAGAACCCCGAAAGGTACAGTCTGAAAAGAGAAATAAAATAGATAAGTATTAGAAGACTCGTGCGAAACGTCTTTTTTTGCTTTTAGGCAAACTCGGAGTATAGCCCTTTCCTGTAATCAATGTTTTTTACAAGCTTTTTCCTCAATCTTTTTCTAATTTGTTGCTTTTTTGAGAAATGTTAAATTCCTTGACCATTTTTGCTTTGGGTTGCATTTGACTGGCTACCGTCGCCTGTTGAACGCTTGGCTTGAGCGTTCTTGGGCTTGACTACCCTTTAACTTGCACGACGCCTGTCCAGGTGGGCCTTATGCGAGCCCAAGTTCCCGTCAGGGCTGTTGTTGCACCTACTAAGGTGTTCAGGAGTGCAAATATATTTTATGGGTCAAACCTCAGTCCTCCACAGAATTTTAAAAAAGAACTGTTCACACTCAGATAACTGGCGTAAATTCGTCAGCCATGGCATTCTGGAACCAATCAAATGCTGGCACGGCAGTGTCCCCACAACATGTCCACTTTCAGATAAAGAAGCAGCGGTGGGCCAGTGCCTCCAGTCATGTTTCTGACAATCGTTCATGCCGAAGGTCATATGGTTATTTGTCAACGGCATCCCAACTTTCTCACTCAAGCTAAAGCTATCAAAAACAGGGGTCCTCAACTCTGCTATTCATTTATGCTGAATGCTTCGAAATTTCCAAAAATCAGGATCTGGATCAAAGTAAATTTCAAAGGGACTACTCTTCCATTAAGTATTAGCATGTGCCTAAGTATAGGCATTGCATTATTTAAATCTGTGACTAATCAATCTATGCACTCATACAAAACATTTATAATAAAAACACCATACTCATGAAAAAGTTTCCGTTTTTTCTTTTGTTGCAGGATGTAGTAATTTTTGTTTTAATAAAATCTATTACACTTATTCAGCATCGGCCTTTTGTACTTATAATAATGTGTGTCTAGCATAACTGAGCAGCATCTTCTGAAGTTCCAACACCCAAACAGGAAACAGTGGCCCACATATCCACTTATATTTTATTGTATTATGTACTAAAAAAAGTAGCTACCAATTACTTTAAAAAAAATCTAACATAGGAAATTTATTTGTTAAGAATACAAGCATATTAATACCTTGCAGATGTCAAGAAGAATGCTGCCAATTTCGTCCTGAAACACATATGTCTCTACTGTTCTGTAATTTGCGGTGAGTTTCAGCTTTGAAGGTCCACATGCAATGCCTCCAATCCAAACCTGGAACACATACAAAAGAATGACACTTAATGACAAAATAAAAAAAAATGTACAAAGCAAATTCAGAACGAAGTATGATATTTAACATCCTGAAGCTAGCAAATTTTGAACAAACATAGACTAATAAATACCACCAACAGTGTCTAGAAAAAATACTTAAGGAACTTTTAAGAACGTCATCACAAAATTTCTTTGTTAGAAATTGTTGAGATAGTCACAGGAAAATGACATAAATACCAACAATGCATTAAAAAAAGTGAATTGATTTGTCAAATTTGGTTGACAAATTATGCTTGAGAAACCATAATAAAAAACAAGACCTTGTAATGTTTGCTATACATACAAAACCATTTCCAGTTTTCGCTTTCATCGTTCTGGTTTCTATGCAAAAAACCGAGCTGCATGATGCTACATGTTGGGCAAAAGTTGAAATAATTGAGCAGTCCGAGAAAATTCGTTTGACAGATTGCTTAATTTCCGCACAATTTCCGTCACCTATTGGCCACTTTTCACTTGTATGATGGTACAATGCAATCCACTTATAACGATAATGAGAAAAGCTGGAACGTAAATCGTTATAACTGATTATTGTTGTATCTGAACTAGAAACTGAGCATATCTAGTCTAGAAACACTAGAAACTGATCGTTAGAAGTAGCACATTGCTATATGTGGTAATGTTATAGGTGGACTGCATTGTAGTACCTTTTCTAACAGCGATGGTCCTACAAAGACGTTCAAATAATCAGCACGGCCAAAATTTTGCCACCCTACCTAAAAGTCGGCCACCAACTAAAAACTAAAAAAAAAAAAACTCCCATTGCGAAGGCATACAGCCTCCTAATACTTATTACCAACATTAATCAGCTCATATTATAATATGGTATGAGAGGTAAATTCAAACTAATTCAAACACATCACATTCAAACGCATTGTACAACACGATAAAACAGTGCGCATGGCACGGAGGAAGGAAAAAGGACAGGTAGATCGAAAGAGCACTGACTCCCAACTTATTTATTTTGAAAGAGGAGAAAAAAGAAGCCATAGATCTCTTCTATTCAATTCCCCACCCTTCTCTGCTCGGCTAGGTTCAATCATGTAATGGAAGTAACGGTGAGCTCGCCTTCAGAAATGCCACCGGCATTCCCATAGAGGACTTCCTCGAGCTTTTAATTTTCTACTTCAAGTCAGGGTGTCCAGCAAATTATTTTGAAATTCCCTGACTTTTCCAGGTTTTCCCTGACAATTTCAGGTGAAATTCCCTGACCACTGTAGAGGCGGTTAAATATATAAGACCATTACAACACAAGGCATTGAGCATTAAACACTGTGAGCATCATTTTGCACGGGCTTAATCCAACTTGCATATACCGAAATATTATTTCATATACCGAAATTTGAAGCAAATAGCCAACAGGTATGATGTTCCAGTGCTGTTTTCTGCCCCCCAAAGGTTAGCTAAGATCTGCGCAAAGGTGGGCTCCGTAATTGAAAATCGTTCACGAAGTGCATGCCACAAGAAACACAAGAACAAGTTCATTTCCTGCACAAAAGTAGTTTACAAGATTCCCCCCCCCCCCTAACGTGTGGTGGTTGCTACATAGCACAGACTGAAAGATGCCTCAACGACTGGCTTAGAGAACATTTTTACTCCCTTCACACCACGGTAGGAGGGCACCTGCCTGCACACTGTCTCACCTGCCAGTGCACACCGAATTTTAGGGCCACAATTATACTTGGGAGATTTCAAGATCGGACTACCCAAGAGATATTTGAGGCTTATCAAATTAAAAAAATAGGACAGCAATGCGTGAGCCATCCTTCTCTGTCGCTCACTGCCAAGGAGGCCGAATTCTCCTAAGGTTTCCAGGTGAGTGTAGAGGGAAAAAACGAAGGAGCGGGGAAAAAGAAACACACTGCTGGCCACGTTCTTAGCCAACGCCTGGGGCAAAGTGAATTTGGCTAACCGGTAGTGAAAAAGTACCGCTTTTTATATTTTTTCTGTTCTTCCTATTCTTTTCTTTTCTCTTTTTTGTTTCACGGGCATGCTTTACGGTTTCTTCTTCCTTTTCCTTCTTAGCTCAAATCAATCAAGCATGTTTATATTTCTTTTTCTTTTCTTATCAACTATTTCTATGGCTTCTTTTTTCTCCTCTTTCAAAACAGATCAGTTGGGAATCAGCACTCTTTCGTTCTACCTGTCTTTTTCTCTTCCTCTGTGTTCTCTGCCCATTTTTATCATGTTGAAGTACCTGAAGTACCAACTAGCTCAAATTACTACTTTACTACAGCATTGTACTACAACCTTTCTCTTTGAATCGAAACAAATTTCTCCGGCCCATCCTTGGGTTCCAAAGGTGATCAATCTCACAAACCCCATCTGGAGGAATAACGTGCTTGGCTTGCAGCTGGCTCTTGAAGGGCATGTCCAGTTCCGACTCAAAGGATTCCATTGGACTCAGTGTTCCCGAAGCCACGATGAGGGAATGCACCTTGTCCTTGATGTCCGACATGGCCTACAAAGGAATACAAGAAAGCATGTGCCCAGTCAAAGATGCTAGTTACAAGATATGGGCTAAAAAGTGCCAATCTCACAAAGATGGCAGCGATTGTTTTTTGGGGGCAACTTACTACTTCAAGTGACGGCTTCAAGAACCCCTTTTTGCTATGTATGCTGCCTTTGGCAGGGCCTTTGTCGGTGCCATTTAGAAATGCTTGAAGAGAATGTTTGGACGACCGAAACCGTTTCATTACTGTAGTCATTTGTTTCACTTATGTGGGAGCAAAGCTGAAACTACAAGCTGGAGCTACGAGGTTTTGGCTCGCTCTTATAGCTTCTACTGTACTTGTACCTAAAGTGAAACGGAGCATAGGCCCATTGGTAGAAAGCACTTGCATCCAAAAAACACGAAAACGGCAGTTGTGCCACGGTTGTCGTGGGAACGAGCGGTAGCCATTGTGGCTATTAACAGAACTGGAACGTCCAACTGTAGCCTTAACCTAGCTGCGCTTGCAGCGTGGACACGTAAGTTGCGGAGCCGGTGCACGGTGGAGGGGTCAATGTCATGGGCACCTTTTGCCAGCTTAGTTTCAGTTTGAAGCCGTATACAAGAATGACAGTTATCACTTCGCAATGCCCCCTACGAATTTTTTAATCAAAATTTCACGTCGAGGCTAGATCATTATGAAGTTGAGTGTCGATCCTCCAACCACATTATGCCTAAAACAATTAAAAGTTAAAGAGTTAATTGTAGCTTGTGCTAGTTAGTTAGCTAGGTAATTAAAGCATTATGTCTCTTTTCTAGTGTCCCCCAACATAGACCCAACACTAAAATATCCGTAATGCAAATTCCCTTATTACTTTTAATTCTGAACCTACTAAAAGAAACACCTTCAAAGGTGATCTTGGATAAAACGTGAATTCCCATGTGATATGCTACGGTTAACCTTTTGTAGGACAGCCATTTGCTAGTTTGAAGTAAAGGAGGTATACTTTTGTATATACATGTATATAAATACAGTAAAGTGTATATAAATACAACAAAAAGAACACTGCACATAGCAATGAAGTGCATATAGAAAGAAAAATGCAAGTTCTGTTTACGGCGCGATACCACACTACAGCAGACCTTGGTTATACAGTCAAACCTTGATGTAACAAGCCTCTAAGTAACGAAATTCCTGATGTAACGAAGCACATAACTTTTTCTAACCGCAAGTGTATGCACGACATGTATTTTTTACCTCTGTGTAACGAAGTCCTGTTTGCCGAAATTTAGATGTAACAAAGTTTTATGGACAACACGGCAGAAATTTTGGGTCCCAAAAGAGATTATGGGAAGCACACGCACTGAAACGGGCCCCCAATAAAGCGCAAAGGGTGAAACGGGCCGAATCTGGCGAGTGTGGTGTACAGAACGGCCACTAGAGGGCACTAAAACCGCTGCCGTTTCGTTTGTCGGCTTCCTTCGCGCTGCGTAGTTCGTTTCGAGGCCTAACTAAAAGCGTGCGTTTCTCATCCTGGGCGATGAGCCTTCAAGGCAATAAAGCCGCCCCTAAACATGTCGACCTCAATGACTTTCTATACGCCAACTCTGCTGTCATTGCGATGGAGGAGGTGACTGACGAGGCGGTAGCAAGCAATGCTCGTGGGAATTCGCAAGAGAGGGACGACATCGAGCCTGATGAGCAAGACACCTGCGATGTGCCCCGTAACTGTAAAGTGGTGGACGCGATCAATGTCTTGAGGCGGTTCGTGAGCACACAGCAAGACGAAGACGCGATGCAGGCCATCTGGCTATGCAAGCGTCGTGTGATGCCAATAATAATGTCAAGATCGGCCCAGAAAATTCAACCGAAATAAAGGCATCCTCTGTGAGTTTTGTGCACCTGGGAAACATTTGTGGGAACTTTCTTTAGTGCTAGCCCCGAATTTCTATGTAGCAAAATTTCAATATAACGAAGTAACCGAAATAAAGGCATCCTCTGTGAGTTTTGTGCACCTGGGAAACATTTGTGGGAACTTTCTTTAGTGCTAGCCCCGAATTTCTATGTAGCGAAATTTCAATATAACGAAGTAAATTCCAAATTTTAATGACTTCGTTATATCGAGGTTGGACTGTAATCGCCCTGCTTGACATGCTATCCAGGTAAAAGTATGCCCGTGATCAAACTGAACGTGAAAGTATGTGACTTCTGCATTATACCTGAAAAAATTATGACATGTCATCCACATACCACTGCAGGATTCAAGCACCAGAAGCTCAAAGTGTGAGTCCAGGAAGAACTCCCAGCTGAGCTCTTTGTATGCCACCCGCCAGCTGCCTAGAAAGACGTATACATAAAAAAAATATTTCTCGATTAATTATATCTTTTTGTTTTTTTTACTGGTGATTGTAAAGGCAAAGGATAGTGTATTTTGTATATTTTATTAATCGCCACTCAACTGACAAAACTGATTAAAAGTTAATATTATGGGTATCGTATTTAATTGAATATAGGCAACAATTTTTTTATCCGGCTTTGTTCATTACAATTATAGGTGGATCTATAATCACGATCAAAGACGGTCGACCTATAATAGTGAGGAAAATTTCAGAGCTCATCGACCTAACCGAGATGCTTTGCTGTGTCGGCCAAGACCCTGAGCATGCTGCTGCTAAGCGGTCAAACTTGGCACCCGCGTGCCCATGCGAAGCACTGAAGTTTGACGGGAGGTGCGCAGTGCAAGTACTGTGGTGTGGAGGCCTGTTGACCATTCTGGAAGGTCAAATGACGATGTGGTCAGTGTGGTTGACGAGGAAGTTTTAGCAAGAGGAAATAGGGTCACCATTAAATAAATGTTTGCACATCACATATCTCCTTCCCTTCCACTTCTTTAAAAATTGGAATTGATATAGAGTATTCTAAAATTTTGTTATTAATCTTGACGAGTCTCTTAGCAGAGGGATAAGCCTACGTTTAAAGTCAACCTATATTCGAGTAACTGTGCAATACCTTCCGCTTAGGTTACCGTTTTCCCCTTATTGAGGCTTGAAAAAAGGAATCGTGGTTTCAATGTTATAAACTTACGTAGCACACTTTGAAATTGGAAGCTTGTACAAGCCTAAAAAAATCGCCAATATAAATTAGCTCTACAAAGTCACTAAAGACTCACAGCCTTGAGATGACACTGTAGTTGTGCTGAAGAAAAGGAATTGTTTTTGCATGGACCGCTAAGTTAAAAAGAGCAAATGAATGCACTCACCTCAGAGCGCCTCCTTTTGGACACAGACTTCACCACTGCAGCCCTGAAAACAAAACAAAAAACTATGAAATAAGCTTAAACAAGAACATCAAATAATAGATGTCTGATAAGCACACAAACCGGTTATGCTATACAAAATTCATTCATATCAACGAAAAGTAAGTGTGCAACAAGCTGGTGTAAACTGAATATGATTATGAATTACAAATTCATATAAGATAAAAAATACAATGCAAACTCAGAAATATTATTTCCATTTCTGGTGAGCATGAGAAGTCACCTTGTTATAGTGATGCTCAAGATAATTATAGTGCCAGCATCCTACAAAGGAATGCGCTGCCTTTAAACCGGGAATGATAAGGCCAAATACAATGTAAGCCAATACTGGCAACTCCCGCGGATCGCGGGCGAAAAGTGATCGCAGCGCCCCTAGCGAGCTCGGAGCCCCCGCTAGCAGACGAATTCTCCGCAATGCATTGGTTTTGCCTATCTCCGTGCGAGGTGAGCAATGAAAAAAAATTGTCACGACTATTCTCTGCTTTGAATGTTAAAAAGTAGGTTCCACCTCATGGGTCAAGGACATTTTCTTCGCGAGGGAAGATGTTACAGCTTATAGGGTGCAATTATCGGGCTCTCCCGAAGAAAACATTCCGCCAGAAGACTCAGAACTTATGTCTACCAGGCAAGACACGAATGTACCTTCGCCCTGTTTCTTTGAAAAGGGCAATGGAAAATATTTTTTAGAACATTGCTACGTTTTAACTTTACTGTGCATATCGAACAGTTCTTTTTGTTGTTGCCATTTCAATTTCTCATGATTGTATAGCTTAAAACCGTTTCGTCGAATAGGCGAGCTGGCTATATCCCAATCGTCTCCAGATGAAGAAGCAAAAGGCAATTTCGAACGACGTACCTTACTGCGATGTCAGTATGCTCTGGAAAAAGACGATTGTGCACATGCAAATCTGACGCTATTACTGAAACTAATAAAAGCGAAGTTACAAAAAAGAACACCCGATGGACGGTCGTGCACCTCCTTCCATTTTTCAAAGTCTACTTTCTTTTTATGTTTGAGGCGACGCTACGCCGCCGCGGTCTTTCTTTCTTCTGCGTTTATATTTTTTGTTTGCTTTTTTCTTTCTTGTGCTTACATGACGTTCGAACCATCACATATTTTGCTTTGCCTTGTTTGGCTTAGTTTTTACTTTTTTTCCTTCGCTTCGTCGCTTACTACCGCCGGTTCGTCTGCTACGGTATGCCCGGACATTTGGAGGGCCGTCTGCAACTTTTTTGTTGTTGTTGTTGTTGGTGTTTTTCCACTGTCGTCTATGATAACCTCCTATGTTCGCCTTCGATTGAGTTTCTGATCCAAAATCTTCATATGTACTTTTTGATACTCAATAAATATATTAAGAAGTGTAAGGTCGTTATGCATTTCTATTTAGATTTTATTTGAGTATGCGGTCAAGTCTGCTATGAGTCATCGTTGGTTGATCAACCGGCCGCCTTCGGGCATACACCGGCGCATACTTGGAGATTTTGCCTGCCTGCCTCCCTGCCATCTCCACTGCGAAAACATGTTTTTCTGATGTGGTGGAAAATCCTTCTCCCGCTTCCCAAAGACCGAACAAACGTAAGTAATTAAGTTACTTCAAATTAAACTGGAGGAGCTATCCAAGTATGGCTTCAAAATTGCCACTGACGCCTCAACAGACGAATATTTCACCAAACAAAAGTTCAGCTGAAAACGCACTTGAGGCCGCTGATCGACACTCAAAACAAAGGCACAACGTGCAAGGATTGCCTGGACATGTATGCCAACAACTACTGGAATGTACTTTTGAACTGCTGCGCCAAGTGAGCAAACAAACAACCTGACAAAGTCACTGGGAAAAGAAAAGCGAAAGCAAAAAAAGTCACACACTGCTAGTACACTGCTAGCACGTAGCAGATTGCAGCTCTTTTGTCCATAGTTCCTACCAACGCCGCGAAAGCAAATAAACAAACGTGTAACGTGCAGCTGAAAAAAAAAAAAGAAAAAGTGAAGCTCTTTTATTTAATAGTTTCGTTTTGTTGCTTCCGCTTTGCTTGTTGTGGACTCAACTCCGAGGACGAGCACCACCTGCTAATTTTCAACCAACGCCCCGTGCGATCGTCGTCGTTGAAGGAGGTCTTTGCTGAATGATTTGTATTTTTGTATCGTCTGCTAACTTCTTCGTTGCAATCGCCGACCGTTGTACGCAACTGTTCTCCATTTCTTTTTATTGTCGTCTGGGATGGGGACCCAATCTTTTCTGCAAAGTTTGGAAAGTGTTTGCACGGTCATTTTTCTCGTTACTTTTTGTTTTTGTAATGCTGCAGAGGCTGGTGCGCTTGCTCTGGTAATTTTAACATATTGTTTGCGCACGTTTTAATAATCACCTATTCAGGCAAGAAATTGTGACGACGCAGTTTGTAACGGATAAACAAAAACCTCTTACTTTATTTTATTTATTTACAATACTGCGGACCTTTCGGTCTACGCAGGAGAGGAAGTACAAAAGCACATAATAAATACATGATCATGCACTCTGTGCGGGTCAAGCGTGCGCAGGCAGTTCGAAGTGCCTGCGCATTCTTTACATGCATCACTTAATTAAAAAATTCGGTCAATTTGGCTCCGAATAGCTCAAGGCTGCAGAAACTGACAAGTTCTTCTGGTAAAGCGTTCCACTCAATTATTGTTCTGCAGAAGAATGAATATTTGAATACATCATTCTTGTATTGATACGGTGAAATGGCTTTAGTGTTGCTCGTTCTCCGGGAACGAGACGTCGAAGGTAGCAGATATGTTTCAGGATCTATTTTTGTCAGTCCGTTTGCTATAATGTATAATTCTTTTAATCTAGAAATTTTTCTTCTGTTTTCTAGGCGATCCAGCCGCGCCTCAGCTCTCATTGCGGTAACAGACGACGTACGCCTATATTCCGAAAAAATAAACCGTAAAGCAAGGTTCTCAATTCTTTCTATTTGTGTGACCTGTTTTCTTCTGTAGGGGTCCCATACGCAACTTGCATACTCTAATATCGGACGCACATAGGATTTATATGCAGTTAATCTAACCTCTCTATTTGCATGTCTTAGGTGTCTTCTAAGGAACGCTAGTTTTTGATATGCCCTTGCACATATATAGTCCACGTGACTATTCCAGCGCAACGTATTACAAAAAATCACACCTAGGTACTTAAATTCATCTACTTTTGCAAGTTCTGTGCTCCCTATAGTGTAGCGGAAATCTAACACTTTTTTCTTGTTTGTAATACTACAAAATACCGTCTTATTAAAATTAATAACCATGCCCCATGTAGCACACCATGAGCTGATTACCCCCAAAGACTCATTTAGTAACTCCTGATCCTGAACTGTAGTAATTTTAGAAAATAGCATACAGTCATCCGCAAAAAGCTTAACATGTACAGAAGAAGGCAGATTCGAAGCTATGTCATTGATATAGACTAAGAATAAGAGTGGCCCTAAAACGGAACCCTGGGGTACTCCTGAATAGACTGCTAATGGGGGAGAGCATACGTTATTATAACAGACATACTGCATTCGGTTGCTTAAATATGAACGTATCCATGATAGCAAACTCCGATTCAGTCCTAATTTACGTAGCTTTTCGAGCAATTTGTCATGAGGAACACGGTCAAAGGCTTTCGAAAAATCCATACATATTACATCAACTTGACCACGCTCATTTATAACAGACGCGAACTCATGCGTACATTCAAGTAGCTGCGTGACCGTTGACAGACCCTGCCTAAACCCATGCTGGTGCTTATACAGTAAGTTATTTTCTTCCAGGTAGTGATTGATATGTTTTGATATAATATACGTAGTTTGAGTGGCTAAACGCCACTCAAACTTACGACGTAGTTTGAGTGGCTAAACGCCTTTTTTCCGTTTCCTAGATGCGCTTCAAATGCGTGTGATCCCCCTGAGTGGCATTTGAGACCTCTAAATAAACTGCTCTATCTTCGTTTATGCGCGCGTTGTTATTCGTTTGTCGTTGCAGTCGCAATCAGTGGATTCCGCTTTGCAAACGGGTTGACCTTAATGAATTGTTTCAGCTGTTGGGGTGAAAAAACGGGGCTCGCAAAGCTCGAGGACGTCGCGGAGCCTATACTTTTCCATTGCATCATCTGCTTCTGTAGACTCCGAGTCCGTTCGCCGCTGCTCCCATAGGTTTTCGGAGGAGCTTCCAGTATTGGCGAAGCTATATCGTATTTGATAAGGCTATCGCTTTGGAAAACAAGCTTACCGGAAGTCGCTCATGTACTTCATGTTGCTGCGATAGAAGAAGTCCAAGATAATGACCAGATTCTGGAGGATGGCAGATGTAGATGCGAGAAGCATGGGCTGGTACTTTTCTGGATCTTTCTCGACGCTTGTGACGAGCGCCACAGTTTTCTGCAATTCCCCAACGAGACATAGGAGAGGATTACAAGCATACTTTAGCACTTTCACTTCTGCGAAACTACAAACAGCAGGTGCGACCAAAGAGGCTCCTAGACACATACCCGGAATGACTCGAAAGCTTCGGGGCCCAGTCCAATGTCGATCATGAGGGCGATGATGTCGTTGCCCGACCAGACCTTGCCAGACTGCTCGAAGCTGCGGTAGTCATTCAGGTGGTCCGAATGCTGGGATATCCAGACACTGATCTTGGACATCTGCTCCGAAATTTATGCAAGGTAGTTCAGGCCTTTATTAGTTTAGCAGTAGACGAGCAATAGACACCTTTCAAAGAGTGCCACGCAAGCAGGGTGTACAATTGTAACTGGAGCTGAACCACTTGTTTTTCTCGAACGGGAACAGAACCCGAACCGAAATGGTTGCCGTCATCCTGGAGCTGAACTCGAACGGGAGCAAAACGAAGGAACCGTTCCGAACCGGTCTGCGACAAGTCATGATTCATTAATTAACAAATAATGGGCGATAAAGTGCTGGGTGTGAGAAGACTTAATGTTGTGGCCTGCGTCACGGAAGCACAGAACCGTGGTCCACGTAATTTCGAGGGTGATATTACCATCTTTGAACTTTCTCGCCCATTATCTGTTTGTGACTTGTTGCTGCCGTGAAATCTGCTGCATGCATAGCTGCTAAAAGAACACTGCAAAGAAAAATAATAATAATAAAAAAAAGCTTGATAATGATTTGGACACATGATGCATTTTCCCCCAAAATTAAAATTAATTAAATAAATATTATTAGTTTGAGAGTCATTTGGGTTTTCCTGAGAAAGTGGCTCTTAGACACAGTGATAAGCCCCTTTTCAAGGAAACTTGAATTAGTGTTGTGCCGTTAATATTGCTTTAATTAATTATCTTTTGGGAGGAAAAAGCATCTTGGAGTATATCAGGCTGTTTAAAAAGATATTTTTTTTGCATTGTCTTTTTAAGATTAAGTAACGGTGATGAGTTAAGCGTGTTGGTACATACTTGGAAAAAACAGCCTGAACGTAGGGAAGAAATGTAGAGAGAAAACAAGAGAGACGAGACAAGATGGCTGACTACCAACGAGTTTTAGAGAAAGCTTCTTCTTCCTCATGCTGTGGCATCCACCAGCAGAGGCATTTTAAAAAATATAATCATCAAAGAAAATATTTTAACACATAAAGAGGAAAACAGTTTGGTTACACTGCCCCACTCCAGCTCATGCTGCCCATATGCAGAGTCTTTGAGAAAATGGGAGCAGGTAACTTGGCTTTCCAGTGCAGAAATTGCCAGTTCAGTGCAGCTTTCGAGGACATCACCATCCTAGCTAGACAACGGAATCCTCAGTCCCCCGAGGTGCTTGAGGCACTTGCCATCGAGGACCACGCCGAAGATTGTGTCAGCGCACCGTCTATTTGTCTACATCATTCGGAAAAACAATTTCTGTGGTGCGCCCTACCCAACCTATCAGCAGCGTGACCTGAAGTGGGCAGTGTAGGTAAAGTGTTTTCCTCTTTACATTCTAAAAAAAATTTTCTTTGTAGATTTCAACCGTTTCCTCTCATCTCTCCTGTTTTCTCTCTACATTTTTAAGACATACGCAAGGCGGCCTATTCGTCGCATACCGATAAAAGGAGTCATTCTAATAATTGATTTCTTTCACTGCTGCTTTTTCGTAAAGAATACTTGTTTAGCTGTCTTTAACATCAGTAAACAAGAGAAATCTTGTAATGGGATTTCATTTTCTATCCTTTCTGTAATCCTTCAAAGATTAACAATTTAATCAATATTAAAAATTTTGCTTCTAGGTGAACCATTATGAACCAGTTAAAACCAGTCTGAACCGTTATGTTTTCCATTCTGGAGCTGAACCTGAACTGTACCAAAAGGTCTTGAAGAGCAACCCAAACAGAACCAAAAAAAGTTTCAGTTCGACATCATGCATGCGAGGATGGCTGCACTAACTGGAAAATTGCCTCGCTTAAATAAGGCACAAATACAAGATCTGGATGAAAGATTTAAACAATTACCACAGGACTAAGAGACCCTTACAATATAATTAATTGCATAAAAATAAATTGTAAAATTATTGCTATCTGGTTGAATATTTGCTCCCCTGTCTGAATCTTACTACATGGTACTGGTCACCACCATTACCATTTTATTATTCCCTTTTAGTTGCTTAGATACACTTGGTAACAATGAGTCTAAAAAATCAGGGCTGTAACAACCAATTGGGCCAACTAACATAAACATTTTCAATACATTTATCAACAAACTTGTAAAAGCCTAGGACTTTGCATAGTAATATCTGCCTTTAATAAAATTATTTAGCTTAATTAACTATCTTAGAATATAACAGTCATGCCTCATTAATATGCACCCCATTGATATGAATACCCCTCTATGTATAGACGAAATTTTCAGAAACAAACTGGGTAAACATATGCCTTTACGACTCATTATTATGAACAATTCAGTTTATGGACGATTTTTTGGGGGGAAACGGAGCCGTCCATATCAATGAAACATGACTATTGCCAACTGACAACCATATGCTTAGTAGTAATGAATCATTTCCCTTGGGGTAAACAAAATGAGAAATGTGGCCCACAGAGGGTTTTTCTCAAAACTAGTTCCGTACGAATGTAAATGGTTAGCCTTATCTCACCACTCTCGCAAGGGAATGATGAAGGTCTGGCAGCGCGTCTTGGCGTACTGTAATCAAAACATGGGCATGACAGCTTACACTCTTTTCTCTTCATTCATTGTTCTCTTTTTGTTGCACCAACCAACACTAGTGCCTTAGGTATTACACCAGTCAATTTAAAAATATGCGAAAGAACACTGAAAAATGTATTTATATGTATTATTAATACTTTTTATAACCACAGTATACTAGCAACACTTTTAACTTTCTATGAATCTTTTTATATGTTGGCTGCCTTTGCATTCCTTCACGCCAGCTAGTATTAATTTCTGAAATGTCAAAGACGAGCCTGGCTTGTCCAGTGACGTATATCTTCTTAGCAAATCTGAGAAAGCCGCAAGTATAATTCTTCCAGGGCTTGTTGGTGACAAGAACGTAAATCGGTGTTTTCAGACTAGTTCGGCCAGCCATGTACCATTGCGCAAAAGTTGGCATTTCGGACAACTCCCCGGAAACAACTGCTGTGAATACGGGTCTAGAAATATTTACTGTTGAGTCCGGTTATAACGAAGTCAACGGGAATCGGAAATCTCTTCGCTATATCCGTTATTTCGTTATAACCGACTTTGGTTATAACGAAGCGCGATAGGAAATAGGAAATCGTGATCGCTTTGCTGTAGCCACTATTTCGTTATAACAGACTTCGTTATAACCGGTCTCGACAGTACTGACAAATTATGTATACGAAGGATTGACCCAAAGTATTTACCGCGGTGTATCGACGTCATTACTTTGCAAAGAAAAATTGCAAGCACAGCACATTACGCAATATTGTTTAACTTTTTTTTTTTTGCATTGAAAAATATTGGGATTTTTAAAATTTGCCATGTTGACCTGTATTTTGTTAATGTTAGTGCTAAATGTGGTTGTCCTGGTTAGCAAGACAAATTTACAAGAAAAGCTCAAGTTTTACTACATTTTAGATCTTACTACCTAAATACATTTGACTAAATACGGATAATTTTGAAAATCAATTTAAGAGAAAAGGCCACCTTCAATTGCTTTTAAAATATTCAAATTTAAGCTCAATGACATGTACTAACAGAATCTGCAAAAACATGTCGCATTATTTTTTTGGCCTTTGAAATCATAAAGAGAAAAATCTAGCCCAACTGAAGCTACTGCAGTGCCGTGAAGTGGGCGTGTACATAGCCATAGTTGGCAAGTTCATTACTTTTACAGGGTGTAAAGATACACAGGGGTGGTCAAAAATAAATAAATTGATGGCACAAAGAAGGATAATGGTTTTAAAGTGAGAATTCTAGGTGCGTTTCTGTACTGGAGTTGCAGAAAATGTGCATGGGCCTGAGCAATCGAGAGGCGCTACCATGTAGCAAATTCGCTGGGCCTGTTTTTGACAGCCGGTGTGCAGCGTGCTACTAGCATCTCTGCGCAGCAGAAGTAACGAGCTATCCCAGCCGATCGCAGTGATGCAAAAATATCGAGTGAGCACATGTTCCACGTGTCACCGCTTCCTCTTCTTGAAGATCACGTGACACTCGCACGGCATTGAAATGGTTTTGGTGGCTCATAGCGTGGTCTGCGGTTCATTGCAGGGTGAAACAGGGTATACAACTCCACAAGCAAGTTGGACTCCTGACCCCACGAGTCTCTGCAAGGTGAGGCGCCGATGCGCCGGAGATATCCTACACACTCCAAGAACACTGGCTACTTGGTGCATGACGAAAAAGAAGACCTAAGTCTAGCTAAGACAGTGTCTTCAGTGCTACTGATTTTCTCAAAACTCTATCGATTCAGTGATAAAACCTAAAATCTATGAATTTTCGTTCGTTTCTGGCTGAATATTGGCAAAAAGTATGATTTTGCACTCCTAAAATGGGTTTAAGGCCCATGTTAAACGTTAAGCAACCAAGAGGCTAAAATCAACAGGTCAAAGACTGAAACCAACCAATTAATCAACGTTTATGATGGTGGCGAGAACAAAGCATTATTGTTCACCACTTGCCAGGCCTCGCCACTCAGTTGACATCTTAGAATACTGGCCTATGCTGTTTTTGAAGAACCAAGGTACGAAGTAAGCATAAAGTGCGAGGGTACAATAAATCCCCACAAGCGGCTAGTACTGTTTTTTTTGTGTGGTATGGAACATATGCGTTTTACAGGGCATCTGTTCTAAACTTTATTCTTAGCTGTCATTACTTGCTATATACAGTTCAAGAACTATGAACTTTTCTACTTGGCAGTACGGCTTACATATGCACCTGCTTAAAAAATGTAAAGGGTTACACTTACAAATTACTCAGACTTCTACCCTGCGTTTTTTGCTCGTAGCTGCCCACGCGGTTCACCGTAATATGAAACGGAGTACACCACCTATGGCCCCGCAACCTTATTATTGGCTGTGTTGGTCTAAAGCCCAAGAAGAAAGAATGCGAAAATGCAACATGCGAACTCGTCTACTTGGCGTGCAGTGGAAGGGGTTGGCCAGCAACCAATTGTTCTCCTGCCACAAAAAAAGGAAGTTGCTCTATTATGTGGATTTTGATCAAAGTAACAAGTAATCATAAAGCAATCCATTACCAACATTTTGTATCTAAATTACGGTACAAGTTACTGCCAAGAAAATGTAAAGTGGCAATTACAAAATGACTTCAAAAATTCCCTGGACATCTAAGCAATTCTTATAAGTCGTGAATGCGAAAGCGTCAATGTCGTTTTTCCGCCCCCTTAGTTCGTCTGCGGCGTACTGGCGTGGACGGCCACGTTTCGCTACTGCAGAAGTTGCGGCCGCCAACGATATAGATGCCTCAGGCGCTGCTATGCTCCTCGGCGCTGAAAGGAACAGAAGCAGCTTTCCCCCTCCCGCAACGCCCGACACAAGAGCGGCGGCCGAACATGCTCTTTCCTGGTGTGCGGGCTGGAGCGCCCGGAAGAGGGCTTTTCTGTGGGGTAGCGTTCCTTGGAACTATGCGCGTCCTCTCAGCCAATGGATGCCTAGGAGCTGTTTTGCTTGAACTTTCTTTTACGTTTCTTGCGGTTACAGGCACTGTCAGCTACTGGGAATTTATTTCACGGTTACAGACGCCGCTGGCTCCGCTCCATGAGGCATTTAATGCTTTCGCATTAAAACGAGATAGATTACAAGCAATCCGCTACTTGTAATGGATTACTTCCCAAGCCTGATTTGGGCAAAGCTCAAGTTTGCGCAGAAAGCTTTTGGGGAGTGCTGTGGTCACTAATGTACTGAGATGCTCAATAAATTTAGAATGAAAATGTGAAAATTTCATTTCAATCTCATCTTTTATTGTTTTTTTCATGGCATAATTTCCTGATATAGAAAAACTATTTTTTTTATTCTTCAATTCGAATAGCATGCTTTGCCATGTTGAGGCACATGAATTTTTAAGTTTAAACTACCCAATCATCATCAAATATAGTTCTTAAATTATCCTGGCAGACTTTGCCAGCAGTACCCAGATAACAAGTACCAGTGAATGTGACCTTTGCTAAAAACTAATTTTTTAATAGTAAGCAAAAACATTCGACAACAGTACAAAGTTGGCTGTGGCTAAAATTAGTTTTCATATAACTGAACATGGAATATGAATTCCATTGCTGTCTGTGCAATTCCTGAACAACATAATTTTGGTTGCCATACTACTTGGTTAAGTCTTTCATGAAGAGCTTCAAACACAGTGACTATATTTTAAGCAAGTTTTCAGATAATTTTTTTTTAATATGGAGCACATCAGTTTGATAGAAACTACTGAACTATAGATATGTGGCATAGAGTCACATTTTCTGTGACTCCAATACAAAAACGCCCCTTGAATTCTTACTTTAAAGGGATACTACAACGATATTTCGGCGCTCATTTTTTGGTCTATATGTGTTAGAAAGAGCAGTATCACATGGAACATACCAATATCTTGTTAAAAAAGTCTCGAAAAGGAATTTTAAAACGAATTAAACGATTAGCAAAGAGCACCTGGTGGATGTCGCTAACGCCTCGTTTGTAATGCTCGTCTAGGAACCTTGACAGCTAGTGACGGAGGTTGTCTCGTCTCCGGCCACGATGAGAGAAGGGGGGAAGGAGGAACTCCCCTTTTCCCGAGAATCCCTTTTGTGTGTCGCAGAAGTCGCTATTGTCCGCCTAGAAGATTATAGAAGATTAACCCGTCACTCAAAATTCGTACAAAAGCAGCCGCTTCGGTGGCTGGAACGACTAGGCCATCCTCTCGACGTCAGCCTCGCCGTAGCTTTGCTCGTCTTGAGACAACCTACGTCACGATTGCGTTGGATGTCACGTGCTCTAAGCTGGGCCTTCTCCGAGCGCTTGCCAGAGTGGGCCGTTTATAACGAAAAATACAGCCACCAGGATCAAAATACAAACGTGCGATGGTCATTTACGGATATTGTGGATAATATTCAACCTATTTTTGAACACGAAGGGAATATTTCAAATTTCGTTGAAGTATCCCTTTAAAACCTCTGTCCATCTTTGTGCCAACAATTTATTTATTTCTGTCCACCCCCGTGCAATTTTACGCACTGTAAAAATAATGAACTTGTCAACTATGGGTATGCACAGCACACGCACCCTTCACGGCACTGCAGTAGCCTCAATTTGGCAAGATTTCTCGCTTTTTAACTTCATACACACAAACATGATCTACATGTCTTTGCAGATTCTGTTAGTACATGTAATTTAGCTTGAACTGCAAAAATTTTAAAAGAAAACAAATATGGTCTCCTCTTAAATTCATTTTTAAAATAATTTGTTTTTATTAAATGCCCCATTCAAGCATTTCAGATAAATTTGTCTCGCTAACCAGGACAATATTTAGTGCAAATATTAACAAAATGCAAGGCAACACTGTGGCAAAGTTTGAAAATCGTAGCATTAATAGATGTGAAGAAAAAAAAATTTAAGCAACATTGTGCAATGTGCCCGGTTTGCAATTTTCTTTTCAAACTAATGATGTCGATTCACCATGGTAAATACTTTGGGTCAGTCTTTCCTATACATAATTTGTCAGTAAATATTTCTAGACCTGTAGACACAGCAGTTGTTTTGGGGGATGTGCCCGAAATGCCAACTTTTTTGCAACCTGCAGAAAGCGCTTTGGACTGAGAGTGTGCTTAAAGGTATGGCGAACAGAACTTTGGATTTCAAAAAAAACAATGCTAGAGATGTATGCGGGATGCTACAATCCCTTTGAAACTACTAGTAAGGCAATATCTCAAATGGACGGCCATATTTTTGAAAAAAAAAAAGTCGAGATTGAACCAGGCCGACGAGGCGCTTGACGTCAAGATACCTAGTTTCCTCCTCTCTTCGCTTCGCTCCCTCAAGGCCGCGAGGCGGAGAAGGCGTGAGGCCGTTCCCTCTCATTCTCGGAAAAACATGACGTCAACATTCCTGCCAAATGCGACTCTTTTTTTTTTAAATACGGCCATCCGTTCAAGATATCGCTGTATGAGTGATGTTTTGGTGTTTGTAGCATCCCGTTGCACGCTTTTGCCGCGTGTTTTGGGGAATCCAGATTTCGGTTCGGCATCCCTTTAATGTTTTCTGCAAACAATTTTTTTTTCAGAAAACAAAGGTTGGTTTTGGGTTTCTAAGCATCAAGTTAACAAAATATTTTTTTCGTCAAAATTAAACATAGTCACTGGACATGGTCGGCTGAACTTATCTGAAGAAGCAACAAAAGCTAGTTACAATTTTTTTCTGTCATTAAGTATTTCTTAGGAAATGAACAGATTCAAAGATTAATGTAATTTAGTTTTAACACAAATCGGTACACCAACTCAGTTATGTAGATACAGGAAGAAATCGAGTATGTTAGATGACATCATCAGTAATAAGCTTTGTCATGCCATCTAACCGATCTAGAAGTTTTTAATGCAGAGTTACATTACAACTAAATGCAATTCTGCATATGAATAGATGAAAGTAAAGCTGAAAATTCATAGTTCTAGTTTGTTAATTTTAACTACCTGTCCATGACTTTAACCCTTTAAGAGCCTTTAGCCGGTTTAAGGTTAACAATGGTGTTTCTAGGTTATTTAAAAAAAGAAAAAGTGGCACCAAAGGGTTAAAAAGGTTGCGCCCCATTTAAAACATGCAAATACTATGTATAATGCATTTCACATTATTTAAAAAAATATACATCAGGTTTTTTTGGGTTTTTTTCTAGAATTACAAGCATTCAGATGCAGCCTTCACTTTATAGCCATTTTGTGGCAAAGTAAGGCAAACAAAATTTCATACACCACACTTACTCATGTCTTCTAAGTCCATTATAATGTCTCTGATTTGATCCTGAGTGATGCTGAGGCTCATCACCTCTCTGCTGATGTCTTCGATATTGTGGGCTTCATCAAGCACCACAACTGCATTGTCCAAGTTAATGCTCAGCTGAAAAAGCAATTTTAAGTTCCAATTAAAGCATAAACCTTCAAACCGGCTACGAAGAACCCCCGGATTCCCCATAAGACCCTAGGGGGTTTCCCACAAACTCAACTTCTCTTTATCTTTTCAACCCGTAGGTATTCCCAGTTTAAGCCCAATTTTGGCATTTCACATCAGAGCCACACATCGACATGCAACTGAAAGCCAAGCATTCTCTACTGCGCGCATTAACGTCAAGGGGGGACACCACCTTAAAATCAGAATTTTTAAGAAAAAAAAATTTCCTATTTTTGTGTATTGTGGTCCCACAACTAAGAGTGTATACTCCTGCAAATTTTTATTGCAATATCTGAAGTATTTACGGAGAAATAAAACATTTTTGGTCAGCCAACGATGCAAAATCACGTGTTTTTGTAATGTGAAACTTCTGTTTCCTATTTTCAAACTGCTGTAGCTTTGCACCGGTGTGCCCTAGAATGATGATCATATTCTCGTTGGAAAGAGCATTTCTTCACAATTTCTGTACATTAAATGTCTTCGCTCGAGAGTAAACTCTATTCAAGCGAGAACACAATAGAAGTCCAGCTTTCACATAGAAGAGGCTATGCTTATGGCCAGGAATCGAAAAGCTCACCCTGATTGAACACCAAACTTTGTATTTCGATGATGCTTGTCCCGCCCACACTTGCTGCTGTTCGTTCACGTATTGTAAGTGTACCAAACTCCTTACTCGTTTCACAATCAATGTCCACATGCTGACACTAAAATGACACTCGAAGAAAGCGTTTTAAGCTCGGACTCACTCAGCAAAGCCATGCAGGAGATTCGGTATAAGCAGAAAGCACCCTACGCTCTTGGTGCCTTTCAGTTGCCACCACTACCAGTGAAAGCAGATGTAGTGGTGTGGAAACTTTAAACAGGTTTTTCTCAGTTTCACTTTTTTGCAGCAACTTTCATTTTAAGGGGAAACACTACTCGGGAGGGCTAACTTTTGAAACGTTTTTCTTATTTGCATGAAATTTGCAGGGTGTACTGATAGCACTGGACAAGGATGCTGTGGAAATTTTCAACCCTATAAATCCCACGATGAGTTACATAAAAGTTCATAATAAAAAAGTGTATCTGCTGAGGAAAGCTATCATTTAAAAAGGGTAATGAAAATGGCCAGTTTTTTTGCTGGAACATACAGCAGAATACTTGCTTCAGACAACTATAAAAAGAAATTTCAAAAATTATAAAATTTATTCACAAAAAAAAATATGGAAAACAGTTTTTTTTTGGTGTACATTTGATTTAAAAGAAATATAAACTTTTCATAACAAAAGAGCATAAAAATGCAGAAAGTAAGTTCACAGTCGTGTTCTCCAGAAAGTTTCAATATAGAAAAACCAAAATATAACTGCACACATAATTTGTTTATGAAATGATAGCTTCCCTGAACTGATATTTGACATTAAAAAGTGAAGCTGAGATAAATGCACTTGAAGTTTCATGATGACGTTTTAAAACTTTCTTTTTGCGTCTTAAATGTCAGAAATTCTTTCCAGCAGTGTAAGTGATGTCTTCCTCAAACTTCTTCTGATATACTGACATTGCTTTCAGCTATTTTCACTTGTGGATGACGAGTGCTATGGCAGTGCAGCACACCTCACCGACATATAAATAATAATTATTTTTGACATTGTCAGTGCACATTGACAAGACTTTGTGAGTGTTCTTTGTTATCCATACATGCCAAAACTTTGCAGTTCTGAATATGCATTTTTTTAAAAAAAAGGTGCAATTTAAGATACTGTCCCCCCTTAAGAAAACCTATCATTTCAATAAGTCGCTGAATGTATTCTTTGCTGTGGATTTCTGAATCAGAATTTAATGAGGAAGGGGGCTAGATATTTCTTTTTCTATTTAAACAAAGTTTTCATTGCCAAAAAGTAGAGTTTTGATGAGAAAATGCCCCATTATGTGGAATGCTTTTCAAATTGACATTTTGCATAAAAAAAACATGGATTTTAAGGTAAAAACAGATAGCCCCCCTACCATATGTTCTAGTTAAGGCTGAAGCTTAGAAATGCTCAATATTCTCTAGCAATTTTATACAATAGATTCCCTTGCCAAGTGAGGTGACTTACATCAATAGCTGTGTACCTCCCACTGTAGCTTACCGAAAAATGGTCCTACAGAGATGACATTTCATGGAGTGCATTGAGGCAACGAGATGAATAGACTCCAAATTTCATCAATATTGAGCAACTTGTTTAAAAGTCGACACTTGAAGGTGGCGTCACCAAAATCCTAAGGTTTCCAAACCGCTTCGTCGACTCAATGCCAAGAGGAGGAGGAGGAGGAGGAGGACTTCCTTGGCCATCAATCGAGGCAAGTCGACGTAGCTCGAGATTGAAAGGTTTGAAAAGGCCTCGAGATAAAGGAAAATTGAGGCTAGTGTCCGAGCCACTGCTGTAAAAAGCAAATAAAGCGAGAAAGGGCCCCCCCTCACACATTTCCTGATGACTGGATCGATCAGGTAATTGTAAGGGCAGAACACAATGTCCGAACTGTCGACCATGTCCAAGCTCCAGTAGTAAGGGCAGGCCTGCGAGTCAAAACAAAGACACAGTCACGGTCACGAAAAAGAAAAGCTTTTAGCAAAGCGGCGTCTTTCACACGTGCCGGAAGCGCGACACCCTATGCTATCGTTCTAGTCGCCAACGGGATGAGGACGGCAAGGCGCCTCTTTCGGATGCTTGTCCTTCAGCACGTGCTTGTGGCCTACCGCAGTGCTTTGACTGCGCGTAAACGCTCGAAGCTTGAGGCGTAGGAGGGTCGTCGAAGGTGGGGCGCTTCCAATGGAGGCGGGACAACCGAATGATGGCTCCCTGTCGTTCTCACCCTCTCAATTCAGAAATCAACAAGAAGGTGTTGCAGAAGTCAATGGAGCTACTAGACGAAAAAGGATGTCTAATCTTGTCAGTGTCTCGTACAACAGCTTCTGCAAAGGTTTACGATTTCCTCGTAACTTAGCTTTTCAAGTGGCAAGCTCGTTACGTAACTCCCCTTTCATATTTCTCCGTTTCTTTCGCATTCAACTGAGACTACCCTGGAAAAACCTGGCGGGAAAAAAAGATCTCAAGCAATCAATAAAAATGACACCTCCAGTTGCGTGACTGCTCGAAAGCCGAGATACATTTAGGTTTGTGGTTATAAGCACCGATCAAAATAGGTATCATAACTGGACAGAATTACGACAGCCATAGCTCGTTTTAAAAAGGAGCGTTCAAGAGGAAAAGGATTTCGAGGAAATAGGAAAGGAACATTTTATTTTTATGTTCTGCCAGTCATGAGGCCAAAACAGGTCAGTAGGTACACTAAACGCAAAAGCACCCCGAAACTGTAGGTAGAATTTGGAGCCGGAAGAGCACTAGCCTTTTGTCTCGTTCCTATCCTGACAAGATCTTCGAGGTCGTAAGGCTCGATGGTCCTGCTTTCATACAGGGACGGATACTCCTTGCCCTTCTTCAGGTTGCCTTGAAACCTACAGCCCTGTAAGAGAGGACATCGCAGAAAATACATGTTTATTACGTCGGTGATTCTCTAACTTTAAGACCTCGAGGAACCCACCTGTCCAGGTCTTGGTATTGATGTGATAAAGCAGTAAACAAGCCTAACTACAGGGTAAACTAGTGGTTCTCAAATGGAGTTCCAATTTAAGTGTCTGCAAAGCCTCGCCTCAATCTCCCCCCTTTCCTCTTTTCTTTATAAAAGAATTTTCAGCCAAAACACTCTGGTGAAAAAGGAAGACCAGCAAAGCTGTGCTATGGTGAAAATGAAGTAAATGGCCGGCCGCAAGTCGGCAAGCTAGAGTGGAAAGGCTGGACAGCTACCGCCATGTATGAGCAACGGCGGCAAACAGACAACCGGCAAGCCGGTTGTCTGGTTGCCACCGTTGCTCATAGATGGCGGTAGCTGTCCAGAGTTTCGTGTCATCATTTGTTTGCTGACGGAATTGATACTGGGGAAACTAGCCCTTAACAGCTTCGCTGCAAAAAGATTTTTTGTTGACCTTGACTGAATGGTGCAAGCTACTGCACATTACAAAGGGTACAGCCATTACCATCCATCTATCTATTCATCTTTTTACTTGATGCTTCTCACTTCTCCTCTCTATAACAGTAAAGGATGCCCTTTTCACACTGCAACCAGTTGTCTTATTTGATACCCCCTCCTACTCCTTTCCCCGCTGGCATGGGGTCCCCCATCATTTTGGCGGGTCTCCAAGGTGCCTCCGACACCTCCATGCTTGAGAACCACCGGGGTAAACAATAATATGCACACTAGGGAGTGTATGGCTCATATTTATGCATCAATGAGTAGCTCACATCTGGTAAACACAGTGATAAAAAAAAGTCTTTCCTGAGAGGCAGGGATCATCGAGGAAAATTGGTTCCTGGAAGGCCAGTTTGAGAATCCATTCATTAGGTGAGAGCAAGGACAAAGAGTTTAGCATGATAGGAATAACAGCTACAAGAAAATGAGGACAACGAAATGAACACTCGCAACAGGACAGCCGCTATAATAGCTTGTGTAGGAACCTCTGGCAGTCGTCGATGGTTACATTCAAGCAAACTTTTATTTACATTATCTACAAGCTGCAAGCGATGCGATCTGACGTGTCGTTCCCAACCGTTCCAAACATGAGCCTCGTCTCGCGCTCAGGCCACGCGCTCCCCTGGCCGCCAGCTCCTTGCCACGCGCTCCCTTTTAAGACGTCTCTGGCCGATTTTCTCCTCGTCTTCGATGTCCTCGTGACAGTGATATGGCTTATTACGAACCACTTAAACACTCCAACACACTCCCTACCGAATGGATGGAAGTCCATTCTAAACTTCCATTAACTCCAACGGATACACAAGCTGCACTGGCCTTCGCAATATGGTGCCGCGATGCACTCGGATCTCACACGACCGGATCCGAGAATCTCGGCCGGGGAACACTCTTTCTACTCGCCCGAGCTTCCATAGCAGGCATGGAAGCGGCTCTTTTAACAGAACAATTTGACCCTCTCTGATGGGCGCAGACTGCCTGTTCTGAGTGGCGTACGCTGATCTGAGTTCTCGAAGATACTCTTCCCTCCATGTTCCCCAAAATCGGTTAAGCAGTTGTTTTCGCTGCCGCCAGAGCACGCGAAGCTCCTCCGGTGTGGACGCGAGCGTGTCCCCACCCGTCGGCGGAAGTGTCGTCAGCCGCCTTCCAACTAGGAAACTGGCCGGCGTCAGCGGGGTCCCCTCTCCGACCGCGTCGTGCACAAACGTTAATGGCCGCGAATTCAACACGGCCTCTACCTCAATCAGAACGGTGGTCAATTCCTCTGTGTCCAGACAGTTCCTTCCGATAACCTTTCTTAAAGACATCTTTACCGAGTGCACAAGCCTCTCGTAAAATCCTCCCCACCATGGGGCTCTCTCGACAATAAACCTCCACTGGATACCCGCGTTCGCAAAGTGGTTGACTACGTCTGGGTGGCGCAACGTATTCCACAGTTCCGTGAGTTCCTTCGACGCTCGTTTGAAGGTCAACGCATTGTCGGAATAAATTACGCGGCACAGCCCTCGGTGCGACACAAATCGACGGAAGGCAAAGAGAAAGCTCCGGGTCGACAGGTCTGGAACCAACTCCAGGTGCACAGCCCGCGTGACTGCACACGTGAACAGCACCACGTAGGACTTGCATGTGAGGTCCTTGCCCTTAACGTAGAGGGGGCCCGCAAAGTCCGTGCCAACTACCTCGAAAGGGTCCGCTCGTGTTGTCCGGGCATCCGGCAGGGGTCCCGTGGGGGCACTCGCGGGGGTCGCGCTAAAGCGCTGACAGGTCACGCAGGCACGCACCACTTTCTTCACCAGCTCTCGGCCCCGCAGAATCCAATACTGGTTACGGAGCTGCACGAGAGTATCTCTGACTCCCGCGTGCAGCAGCTGTCGGTGCGCGTCGATTGCCAGCAAGGCTGAATATCGATGCTGCTTGGGCAGGACGATCGGGTTTCGTTCGTCATACGTCATGCTGACGGACTGGAGGAGACTTCGAATGCGAAGTACTCCATGCTGATCGATGAAAGTGGCGAAGTCTTGGAGGGGTGAACCAGGCGGAGTCTTCGTAGAGTTGGTCGTGCAGCGAAGCTCGGTAGCGAACGCCGAGCGCTGCGCCTCCTTTATCCAGTGAGTTCGCTCTGCCTCGATCTCCTCGGCTGTCAGTGGTCCCGTTCGTCTTTCAGTTGACCTGACGTTGTGGAGAAATCGAAAAATCCAAGCCGTTGTTCTGTTGATCCTTGAAGCAGAGCTGAATCGCGAGATATCGATCAACTCTGGAATGGGCGTTACTGTGACTTCAAACACTTCTGCTCTCGATCCTCTCTCCACGAGGGCGTCTCGAGGGAGTTCTCCCCACCTTTCCTTGGGCCATTCTGTCGCTGGCAGTGGCAACCAACTCGGCCCCGACCACCACAGTGAACTGGAGACCAACTGGAATGCGGTCAGACCTCGTGTCATGAGGTCAGCGGGATTTTCTTTTCCCGGGCAGTGGTGCCACGTCGCGCCTTCACAATTGCTCTGGATCTCTTGCACTCGATTCTTGACGAACAGCTTCCATCGGGAGGCCTCTCCCCTGATCCAGTAAAGTGTGATCATTGAATCCGTCCAGAAGTGAACGTCCTTCACCTCAAGCTCAAGGCAGGTTTGAACGTATTTGGACAGCCTTGAGGCGATCAAGCTGGCCATCAGTTCCAATCTCGCCAGTGTGACAGTCTTGAGGGGCGCAACTCGGCCTTTTGCGAGCAATAACGTCGTTGTCGTCGCTCCTGTGTCGTCGGTAGTGCAAAGGTAGACCATGGCTCCGTAGGCAGCGGTGCTGGCGTCGGCGAAGATATGCGATGATCGGTGGGTCACCTTGCCTTGCAATCCGTCGTCGCAAAACCTTGGGATCTTGACCTTTTCTAGCTCGACAAGTTCGCTGCACCACCCGGTCCACTCGTCTTGCAGGTGATATGGTAGCACATCGTCCCAGTCCAGGCTTAGTTTCCAGATTTCCTGGAACAAGATCTTGGCTCTCACGACGAAGGGTGCCAAGAATCCCAGAGGGTCGTAAAGGCGAGCTGTCGTTTGCAGCACGAAGCGCTTCGTATTTTCTTGATGGCGAGCAGTCTCCATCACGTGCTCCGGCGAAAACATGAGACTGTCCTCTTTGGGTTCCCAAGTCACTCCGAGCACCTTGAGCACGTTCGCGACTTGTCCGAGTGGTTTTTGGCCTGCGCCGTCCTCCTCGAACACCTCCGCTAGTGATGCGCTATTTGAACCCCACTTGTGGAGTCTCATACCGGCCTGCCTAAACACCTCGTTCGCCTCGGCGTACAACTTCTTAGCCTCGTCTTCGTTGCTCGCTCCGGTCAACAGATCATCAACATACACGGACTTGCTTAATTGTTCGGCCGTTGTTGGGTCTGTGTTCTCCATCGCCGCGAAATGGTGCCGCAGGGTAGTCGCCAAAAGGAACGGGCTCGACGTTGCACCGAAAGTCACCCTCGTCATTCGCCAGGTCTCTACCTCTGGTACCGGTTGATTTTGGATCGGCGGTTCCTTGTACCAGAGGAACCGCAGTGCGTCACGATCCTCAGCCTTGACTCCGATCTGCAGGAAAGCCTTCTCCACATCCGCCACTAACGCTACTCGGTGCGTCCTAAACCTCAGAAGTAGGGCGACGAGATCTGGATTCATGTTCGGTCCACTCTCCAAGTTTTCGTTCAGGGATTTACAGTTTGCGCCGTGAGAGGAAGCGTCAAACACAATCCTAAGTTTGGTGGTGCTGCTGTTCTCGCGGAGAACAGCCTGGTGGGGCATGTAATACACCCTTGCTGCACCTTCGTTCTGTGTTTCTTCATCGACCCTCTCCGCTATGTCGTTGACTTGGTATTGCCGAATCGCTTCGTCATACTTCTGTAGGAGATCGGGATTTTTGGTCAACTTCTTACGTAGATTCTCCAACCTCCTTCTTGCCACCTCCATGTTGTCTGCCAGCCTTACGTCCGATTTCCATGGAAGGCTTACTTCGTATCTACTGGCGGTCTTCGTAATGTTGTCTTCGAACTCTCGTCTCACGGCGCTGTCCGAGGGATCCTCTACTGGCGGGTCGGTAACTCCCACGCTTTCTAGCTCCCAGAAATGTAGGAGAACCGATGTGGCTTCTAGATCCTGCAGCGTTGCTATTAGCATGGTCGCCTGGGAGCAACTCACGATGGTTGATTCCGAGCCTGTCCGTCCCTGGACCGCCCAACCGAATGCAGTTTCTACTGCAGTCAGGCATCCGCTCAGTCTATGAATTCTTCCTGTGATGCACCCCCAGTAGTGGTCTGATCCCAGCAGTATGTCGACGCCGCGTTGTTCCAGTCCGGTCATGTTGTCTCCCACGGGACAGCCAAGTTCCTCTAATGTTGCCACGATGGCTTCATCTGGGCTCTGAAGGTCCTGCTCACATATGGTAGGTGTCTCGAGAGCGTCGATGTCATATCTTTTGTTGTAGTGTTGGTCTCGCAAAGTTACTTGAACCCTGCGAAACGTACGTTCAGTGCTTTCGCCCCCGAACACGCCTATTGTGAGGATCTCTGTCCCGAGCAATTTGCAGTCCAGTCGCTGAGACAGTTCTTCAGTTATGAAGGAGCGCTGACTGCCACTGTCGAAGATAATACGGGCAAGCTTCCTTCTGTTTGTACCTCCTGCCCCCGCAGTAACCGTTTGTAGGAGCACTGCCGGCTTGCTGTTCCTACCACGTACATGCATAGCGACCGGTGTCGGTTCCTTCGGTTCCGTCTCATTCGATCTGGTGGACGTTTTTCCCGGCGCGTAATTCGGGTCGCACATGGTGGACGCGTGCCTGCCTTGACATTTGCCACAGCTGGGTGCTCCTCGACATAATCTTGCCATGTGATTGGCCTTCGTGCAGCGGAAGCACCTCCGGTCTGCTTGTAACCTACGCTTCTTCTCCACTAGCCCGATTCTTGCGTTACATTCCGGTGTTCCGTGCGCTTTTGACTTGCAAAGGAAGCACTCTAAGACGTCCACACTGCCGTGCAATGCCGCCGCGGTGGAACTGCGAGTCTGAGCGTTAATCGTTGACCTCTTCACAGAGCCATGCGTCAGAGAAGAAGGTCTGGGCTTACCGACGGCGTCTTCCAGCTGGTGTTTTGATGTCCTTTCGCGGCTCTCCACCTCGATGCGTAGAAAGTCGAGGAGAAACCGCAGAGCCCTCAGGTGTACTTGCTGTGGGGCGGATTCCAAACTGGCGTCTGTCATTGATGCCCTTGCGGCGTTGGCATTCCCGGTCTCCTCCGCCGACATCTTCCGGTTGAAATCGAGAGTGATATCTCTCGGTAGCACTCGCAAAAGAACTGTGTAGAGCATAGCTCCATACGCCTCTTCGCCCACCCTTAACGCTCTAAGGCCTCTGATGTACGCCTGTAGAGTGTCGTAGAAACGCCGTAGGGCTCGGGTGTTCCGTTGTGGTGGCACTGGCTGTATATCCATGAGACCTTCCATGTGGTCCTGGATAAGCGTCTCTTGCTTCCCGAACCGCTGCTGCAGGAGCTCGATGGCGTCTGCGTAACACTCAGCGGTCGGCTGCAATCCACCGATGGCGGCTGCTCCATCGCCGGTCAGCGATGATCGCAGATAGTTGAACTTTTCTGACGGCGTGAGTTCCGGATTTTGATGAATGGCGGTATCGAATTGCTGCCAGAAGGGTTGCCAGTCCTTTAGTTGCCCGTTGAATTGGATTAGTTTCAATTTTGGGAGTTTGATTTTTGATGTCACCGAGGATCCTCCGTTCCGATCTCCGTTCGATGGTCCCCTTGCTTGGTGGCTGCCCTCCACGCTCTTCATCTTTTGTTTAAGTTTGGTGAGGTACGTGACGATCTTGTCCGAATACTCGATCGCATGACTGAACTCTGCTTCTGCATCTTGTCCCGTGATCAGAGGTTCGATCGCCGCGTCCACGTCGTTCAGTTGGTCGCGGGCCAGATGAATACGCTCGATGAGAGCCTCGAGGTCGTTGACGCTTGGCGTAGCTAGGAGTAGTAACGCGTCGGCCTCACCAGTCAGTCGTGTCACTTGCATCCGATGCGTCTTCCGTTTTTTCTTGAGGACGTCCATGATCGTCGACCGTTCCGGCTTGGCTTGATGAAAAGTTGCTGTAAACCACCAGGTTCCCTTCGTTCAGTCGTTCCTCCCGGGTTTCGGCACCAGTGTAGGAACCTCTGGCAGTCGTCGATGGTTACATTCAAGCAAACTTTTATTTACATTATCTACAAGCTGCAAGCGATGCGATCTGACGTGTCGTTCCCAACCGTTCCAAACACGAGCCTCGTCTCGCGCTCAGGCCACGCGCTCCCCCGGCCGCCAGCTCCTTGCCACGCGCTCCCTTTTAAGACGTCTCTGGCCGATTTTCTCCTCGTCTTCGATGTCCTCGTGACAGTGATATGGCTTATTACGAACCACTTAAACGCTCCAACAGCTTTTATTCCTATCACAATTTTAACTATTAACAACTCGCCACATTCTCGTACGAGGGCAAAGCACGGCAAGACAGAAGGTCGCCACACGAGTGGAAGAAAGATCCTCACCACGTCGTCGAGCAGCTCCTTGCACTCTTCGTTCTTGTTCGAAGACCTGGAGATGCGAGGGTGGATGCATGTTCGCTCCCTGCTTGACAGGATGCACATCCTGTTGCATAAGAAGAGATGTCAAGCAAACGCTAGAGCAAACCAGAACAATTAACTTTATTCTCGAAGGACTTCATTAAAGGATAGATGAGAATGAGTGAAATGCAAAGTCTGGTCTGCACAATCGCTGTTGAGTACAACCGATCGTGTTTTGCCCCCTTGTAATCATACACTGGCACCACCTATCAAGTATCCGTAGAACTACATATAGCTAGACTGACAGTTTTGCAATGGTTCAAGAGATAAAATGCTCTTTATGAGAAATGGCTGCTCATGACATTGTCAAAGGTATTGCAAGGCCATGATGCACAAATGATGTGCAAAAATATTAGGAAATATGTCCAAAACGGACGGGTTCCAAGGCTACATGATGGATGACACCAGTGTTATCTCGTCATAAGCAATCGCGAGGGAGCAGAACGCGCACGGTCACACTCAAATGCAAGTGTGCAAGCCAGCCTTAACACACCACTAAACTAGAAAGAGGAGATACGTAGAGACAGGCCCAAATCAGGCTTTTAATAAAAAAAATTTTAAAAATATATACCGTAAAATCCCTTAAGGACGCCCTCCCCCGAGAAATAGCCCATCCCATGTTTATGGCTAAATATATATAACTTAAAATTCTGAAACTTCGCCCCCCCCCCCCCCCCTTAATTTCCGTCAGACATCGCACAATGTTCGACGGGAATCACATGAACCGCACGATCTGCAGTACCGGTAGCGTATGGCTGTTTGCCGACGGAGTAAAACCACGGGCGAAATACGGGTCCCTGATTGGCCTAGTTGAAGCATGTGACACGCAGTTCTTCCGGTTGAAATATCCGAGCAAAACAAGTGATTATCCATGCGATGCTAAAATTTCCTAAAAAGTAGGCATAGTATGCACACATGCACATACGCGTACAGGTATATGAGACTAGCAGGGTCGTGGCTGGTTTATGCATTTTTGTTCAGCATCTGCGGGCGCACTATTGGTTCCGGTGACACGAGAGTTCATTCCACAAGTTTGTTGCATTGTGAAATGCGAGTCTGCTGCGTCTGCCGTCCGTTGCGTCTGATCCCCTGATAGGCAAGTTCGTAGCAGGTTCTTGCGTTTTTTTGTTCGCAATATGCGCACGCGGTATCGGTTCCCGTGACGCACAAGTTGTCCCTGCATGTTTATTGCACCACACTTCGTTTATTGGGGATTTGGAGCCGGCACGCAGGCCGACATGCAGCTTACACCTCTGTTGTTTACTTGGATCCTTTCTGTGATCGGATTAGCGATCTTGTTCAGCGTGGATGGTGAGCGGGCACTGTTCCCACGACCGCCGAAACCGTCTTTATCAATTGTATTCGGGTGGCCCACAGCGACAAACAAGAACAGGAGCGGATTGCCAGTCATCACTGGTTTTCACCACCGTTTAGATGAGGCGCTTTTCGACGACGATCTACCAGTCTCAGCTCAGCGTCGAGAACCACGTGATATTGGCTGAGGCTATTAAAACACGCAGCACCATGGCTTCGTGGGATTTGGAGCCGGCACACTGGCTGATATTCAGCTTATGCCTCTGTTGGTTATGCAGGCTAGTACTTATCATTCAATTCAACTGCACGGTCTGTGTGCTTTGCCAGCTCCACCCATGACAAATGCTACTGGTCATCGTCGCAAACAAATGTGCATGCAATTGTTTCATACAAATTTTCGCCTCTTTGCGAACCAAATGTTGTCTTGATTCTTCTCTTGTTACTTTCAGGCGAAGTAGAGCTAAATCCCAGCCCTGTCACTGAGACAGAAATGGAAGTTCTACAAGGTCTACAAGCTGGTCAGGCATCAATCATGAGTAAGCTAGAAAATATCGATACTAGGCTGGCCAAACACGAAATTATGTTGGCGGAAGTAAACAGTAAGCTTGGTGTAACCGAGGGATGGGTAGAAACGCTCAAATAAACTAGTGTCGGAACAAACAAATGTATTGAGGTCACTTGAACAACAAGTATCCGACTTGCGTAACAAAAACATTGACCTCGAGAACAAAAGTTGCAGGCAGAATCTTGTCTTTTATGGAATAGACGAAAATTATTTGGAAACATGGATTCAATCAGAAAACTTGGTTAAAAATATCTGTAAAGCTAACCTGAGGATCGAATTGAAGTCGGTACAAAGGGCACACCGTGTGGGTTGATACAGTGATAAGTTCAAAAGGCCAATCGTTGTAAATTTTACTTCATACAAGGAGAAACAGGATGTCCTGATAAATGCTAACAAGTTCAAAGGGTCATCTTACAGTGTGGATCAGGATTATTCACCCATGACCCGATATCTGCGGAAGCGTCTGTGCAATATGCAAAAGTTAAAAAAGCGGACAGCAATAACAAGGTAAAAGTAAACTTCGATAAACTTGTTATTAATGAAAAGACCTTCATGTGGGACAAAGAAAAAAAGGAGGCTGTTCCATTCAAGAAACAATGACGCCCTGGGAAGGAAAAGAAACGCACATGCCGTGACCTCGTTGCTGTTGTAGTAAAATGCAAAGCATAATAAACAAACTTGACGAATTTGCTGGTTCGATAGAGTCTGTTAAGGCTTACATCGTATTTGGCAGAGAATCGTGGCTGAACCCGTCTATCGCGGATAGTGAAGTGTTCCCAAAAGAATTTATTGCTTATCGGAAGGACAGGCCCCGCCTCGATGGAGGGGTATTTTTGCTAATTTACTCTTCTCTAAGTCATCTATGCTAGATCTTGATTGCGACAATGTCGAATAAATTTAATGCTCAGTTAATCTATCTGATAACTCGTCATACACTGTTGGAACATTCCACCGACCACCGAATTCAGATCTAAAAACGTTAGTCATTGTTTGAAATACCGTAGAATACCACACATCCGCCCATACCACATCGAGTGCCCATACCCAAATTCGCAAGATCTGAGAAAATATGCACAGTACACTAATATGTAAAATTGATGACCGGACAAGTGCCAATCCTCCATTTTTTGGAGATTATCTCTAAATTTTGAGTGGGCGCTTTCTCGGCAATTTATGGTAGTTCCAAAACCATCCCGGCAGCCTACCTTGCTAGCGGGAGACTGGTAGACACTTTTGGACTGTGGACATGGTAGACACTTTTGGACTGTTGAAGTATGTAAATGCTCACTCAGAATGGTAACATTTTAGACCTTTAGTTTTGCACTTCACCTCAGATTATTAGTTCAATTGATATTATACCAGGAATAAGTGATCATCACACTGCCGTTGCAAACGTCAAAACAGAATTAACCAATCAGCGTCACGTGCATCAAGGAGTTTTTTTTCTTTGAAAAGGGTGATTATTCTAATGTCTCTCACGAGCTCCCTGACAACTTGCTGGTTTTTTAATGTCATGCTGAGGATTATGACATCCACAAATTATGGTTGGTGTTTAAAAACAAACTGCTCCAACTTACGAACAAGTATGTTCCAAGCATTGATTCTACCAGACTCAAAAAATGTGAAAAGCCTTGGGTGAATATGCCTATTATCAGGATTAAAAAAAGAAGGAGAGCATTTCATAGATATAAAAAAACTAAGAGTAAGAATCTCCTAAAGAAGTAACACAGGAATATAAGCTCGCTATAAAAACTGCAAAGCCAGAATACTTCAAGACATTCAACGACAAAATGAAAACTAATCTCAAACATTTTTGGAAGTTTTTAAAAGGCTGCGGATCGGATTGTGTAGGAGTACAGTATAGACCACTTACAACGTAACCGCTTATAGTGCAGGACCGGGTAAAACGCAGCTTTTTTAAACCACCAGTTTGCCTCCCATAGAACTCCATGTATTTACATACCGCTTAAAATGCAGGCGCGCGAAGGGAAATACCGGTTATAGTGCGGAGCACGCTTCCCTGTGCGACACTAGATAATGGCGCGAGCCGCAAGCGGCACTCGCGGGGCAAGGAAGTTGCTCGAAGAAGCGGGGAGAAGCGAAGAGAGGCTTCAGTTGCCATAGCGACAGAGGGACGCACGCACGTGTCGTTCACGTGCATGTGTCCCTCCGCTACGTTGGAAAACAACCGCAACGACAGACCAATCGCAGGTCGAGGAGAAGTGTTTGCGCGCATTGCATGCTGGTCGCGGGCCGGCTGCTTCTATCCGCGAACATGGCGTCGGTTGTGATCGTCGACGTAGACGGCATGGTGGTAGCTCATCATTCCGCATAAAAGCGCTATCCTTGACTGTGAATTTTCGTTGTGTGTCGCTATGATAACCCAGTACGTACTAGAAGGGAAGATCCACCTACTCGTGCGGCAATGTCGTGACGGCATCCTCAAGACGGCAGAAACGCCCATGTCGTCGTGTTTGTTTACTTCGACTACAGTGGTGCTTTCTAAGCACTTGTGTTTTCGAACATCGCCCGGATTTCTTATTTGGAGCATTTTATGCCTGTGCTCAAGTTGAAGGTATTACTGGCACATACCGTATAAAGGATGTGAATTTTCACGCGTTTTCATCGTCGGAGAACAGTGATTAGGGCTAGCAATCATGAACGCTCGCAACGTCCGTCCACAACCCGCGATGCCGTTAAAAGGCTGCGCCAGGCAAAAGTCACTCATTTCTTTCAAAATGTGTGACACACTTGAGAGAGAAGTGTAGTAGTCTGGTGAAATAAAGACTTTCCTCAAACTAGGCTTTATTTTTCATCTAACATAAAATAAATTGTTTTACAAAGGTAAGTTGTCTCATGGCATGTATTTTGGCCTGAAAAATTATATTTTGGTTATAGCGCGGTACCGCTTATAGTGCGGATTTTCGCGACTCCTGCGACATACGTTATATGCGGTTCACACTGTAAATGAAATTGTTTGTAATCAACAACATTTTATAGACGATACGAAAAAGGCAACATGTTTGAATTCATACTTTCAATCTGTCTTCCTACCTAAATGCAACCACAGCCCTATGCCACATGCAAGCACAGTCCCGGTAATGGGACAAGTTGAATTCAGAGTGAGGGGTATTGAAGCACTCCTA